TTGACAATTGTTTTCAAATTGCAATAACAATTTTAGCTTAATTGTTTTGCACACTCCAGCAAATATTCGCACTGCTTTAATTTCCATTCATTTTATTAGTGCGCCAAAGTTGCTCCTTTTGTTTTTTATTTCTGTTCTTTTTTTTTTTTTTGGTTCGGGGGATGTGCCACACACAGAAAACTTTTTCAATTCAATTGTAATATAAATATTTTACAAATAATTGCTGTCATTTCCACAAATAAAAAAGCGAAAAAATAAAAATCCGGTAAAAAGTTTCTATTTTATATGGCTTTTTTTTAATGGCCACAATTTGCTGCGTTTAGTGGGCGTTTAAGGGGGCGTGGGGAGGCGCTAGATGAACCGCAGCTGCTGCTCAATTAAAATGCATGACTATTGTCAAGGCAAATTACTAAGGGTAGTGGCGACCCAAGTGTTATGGGGGGCAGAGGGGGCAGGCCACTAAAGTGACAACGTCAGAACAATTGAAACTCAGTTTGGGGTTGCTGCTGCACTGTGGTGTGGGTTGTGGGTTGTGGGGTGTGGGGGATGTGCTGCTGTGATTGAGATTGAGCCCTATATGTAAGTTTATACAAAACTTCGGGGCTTTAAGTTATCCACTCAGCAAAAGAACTTTGCATAAGCAACAGCTGCGCATCCAAATTCATAGCGAGGCAGTTGCAACTGTCAGAAAGTTTTTTGGGGTAAGCCACGCAACGAGAGCTGAGGGTTGGGCTATACTAAAATAATATGGCATACATATATATATATAGCATATACATATGGGGCACATATATATGGAAGGCAGTTGGCAAATCAAAGCCAAATCAGGGGCTTACTCTTAGGGAAATAATATGAATATATTATGTGTACAATTTTTAATATAATTTTACATAGAAACATATCGAGGACTCTCTTTTGTTAATGTAAATTCGTATTAAAACTCAAGAATTTGAATTTTTATTCAATTAACTTTTCTCAATTCTGTTTTATTGAATAAAACAATTTGTAGAGCTCAATAGAATAAAAGATAAGGCTCAAGCTCATTAAAGACATATGTAATAGGGACTTTCAATTGGAACTCTAGAGCTGAATTCCTTTTGTATATTTGCATCAGCAGCAGTGCTGCCCTAGCAGATTTGTTCTGGCTATATTTGGCCATTTTTAGCTGTCATCAGCTATTTTTTGGCATTTCAAAAACAGCAGCACTGTTCAAAGGTATCTGATGCTCTCCCGCAACTGCAAGAGCCGCTTGGCAGCTCCTATCGAGTGCGCCCAAAGTTATGCTACAGCAAGCTGCAGCAAGCAAGAACAACAAACTTCAATGACTTGGCAAAATAATTTGCAATTAAAATGTAAGCACAAATGCAGTTTGCATATGAACAAAAATCAAAGTCATGCGACGTTTTTGGCCATTGCCATAAGCCGTCAATTTGCATAACCACATGGCAGAGTTAACTGGCGCCGTAGGGCGTAATGGCAGGCGGCAAGTTGGACGAGGGGCTGCCGGAGACGACTGCAAGTAATTAAAATGCTGCAAAATTATGCATTAAATGCACAAAACTTGGCAACATCCGATGGCTAAACAATGGCCCAAAACAGCTGCCAACGCGATGCACCTGAGCAAGGCCAACGGCAATTGCAGCAGCAACAACAACAACAACAATCGACTGCCAGGAAGACAGCGTCGAGTGCTTGGCCGGGCTTGGCTAACCAAGCCAACGAGCAACTTCCTGTTTTACAGTTTTAAGCTGCCGGTACACACACAAACACACACACACATACACACACGCTCACTCATGTGTTCGCATATGCATGCTTATGCATATGCATGTCAGAGATGAACCTCATGAAGTATCGTGACAGCTGCAAAAGGAAAGTCATGCATAATCTAGACATATTTGTTGCAATATTTCTCATACACTTTCTCATAAATACATCACATACACAAAATAAAGTAATTACCCAGATCATTTTAAAAATTTGTAACAAAATCTGTAGATTTGCGAAAATGAAAATCGCATAGAAGGGCTAAGAGAGGGCGAGTTAATTTTTTTAAAGTGTATATAAAATATTATTTTAGTTCTATTTAAAGTCTAATATCTTATTTAAGCTTTTTAAGCATTAAGCATTTAGTACTTGCGTTTAATTCCCAAAATATAGATTGTGTAGCGCAGAGTACACGAAGTTTACTCAAATATTTTATATTATATTATATTTAAGCTTTCTATAGATTAGGTAATGACTGGCAAGTACCAACAAGTTTCACGTATAGCGCCGACGGCCCACTAAAAACGAAATTTACAGATCAAGCCACCGTGAAGATAAGCCATACATTTGAAATTTTAATTATGTGTTTAATTTAGATAAAATTAAACAGTATTTTCGCGTAAGCGCGTGTTGGTAGTTTGACAAAATCACGCACACATCTCTGGTAAGTAGGCGCACACACACACACTCGCACACACACACACGTAGATTGCATAAATTTTGCGCAATGCGCTTCGTGCTGCCAACTCGGAACTGTAAAGCATTTTGGTAAATGTTACGAAAATTGTTGCCAGGAGCCAGCAAAATGGGCAAACGATGCCACAAAATAAGGTTTTTGGGTTAAACGGCAAGTTTTTGTTGACATTCAAATTTGCATAGTCAAATTTTGGGCCAGTGCGAACGCCTGCTGTCATATTTGATGTGTTCATACCGAATGCGGAAGTGCTTGCCGGTTAACACACACACACAGACCCACACACACAGACCCACACGTATGTGACTGCCTGGGTGTGTGTGTGTTAACTGCTTTTAAATTTGTTTTAATTACAGCGCAATTGCACATTGTTGCAGCTCGGAACGTTGGCGCTCGCGCGACTTATAAAATATTCAGCATATTTTTAAGTACTCGGGCGCGAAAAAGGCGCTGATCCTAAAAGTATGCAACGGATATTGTTGCACGCCAGCGAATGGCAAAAGAATAATAAAAATAAAAATATACACTAAAAAGGAACAACACAAAATGGCACAAAGTCGCTTTTGGTCACTTTGCACAAATATCCAAAGAAAATTGCAAAATGCCTTTGTACATTTTTAGCTTCACCACCCGCAGATTTCACCCGCCAAACCGCAACATAAACAGCTGTTTCCGCTAAGTGTACCTGCCGGAAATGACAATGGCCTGTGTGTAGTTGCTTCCTTTCGCAGCTCCTTGATGGCAATGGCATGCAGACAGCGCACAACTGGACTACAGTGTACACTGGACAACTTGAGCAGCAGTTTGGCGGCATCGTCAAGGCAACGACAACAACAACAACAACAATGCTGTCGAGTAGAAGGACATTGGCATTTCTTTTTTGCTGGCGCTGTGCAAAGTGGTGTCAAATGTCAAAGACAGGCGCCAGAATTGCCAAGCAGCTTTTCGCACAATTTTTAACTTAAAAATCAACATGCTGGCTACAAATTGTTAAATGCTTTAGTAATCCAGATATATATAAGGGTTTATACTAACTGATGCGTGCTCAATCAAAGGTCTAAGAAGGTAAAATATTTAACAATATTTGGATCGATTGTGATTACCGCTTACCACAATTGGAGATTGAATTGTTTTAAGGCTCGCATTCGATTCATTAAATTATTATATCATTAATATTAATATATATATAATATTAAGTGTTTTAGACCTTCTCTTAAAGGTGAGCAAAAGGTAATCAAAAGTTGTATGAAAAGCTCAAGAGCTGGCGTGGTTTAGGTGCCTGGTAGTTAAACTAGCAACAGTGAGGTCGCTGGTTCAAACGGCTCGTATGTGTTTTTTATGTGTTTATTCAAATTGTTATTATTCACAAACACACCCCACTTTAATAAGTTAAAAATTTAACAAAAATACACTTAAAAAAGTTATAATTTTGTTTTTGTTTTGATGTTTTTCTGCTAAATATTTTTAGCTAAATATAGTGGCAAAAAAAGCGACTTTGTATCTTTCAGAATGCGAATGCTACGAATTACACTTAAATTTTCGATAGCCCAGGAGTTTCCACAACGGGAAAGAAGTTAAGAAAAAATTGAAATAATTTATGTGTATACAAGATAGAAATAAGTCTATGATTAGGCATATGCACGAAGCACATATTACTTGCCCGTGCCTGGGGCAGCACCCGTTTATTTTACAATATTCCAAATCGCGAAGCTGGTATTGGATACCACATTAACCCATACGGTCAGCGGTCTATTATGACGAAGCCCAACCGGGCTATATAGTGCTTATCAATAGATTGATTATGGGTTCCAGTTGAGACTGAGACTCAACAAATTGCGGATCGCATTGCGTGCAGTGCTTAATGTGAGTCGAACGAAACGTTTATTTTTATAATTCACACCTCAACAAAACAACAGCGGCAACAAGTTGCCCCAGTTCCGTGCCACGCGGAGTGCGCCCTAAGAGCTTACCGCCCAAAAGCCGGGCCGGGTCTAATTATAACAACGACATAGAGCACAAATGTTTCGATATGTAAATAAACACGAAACAATATCGAAATCGTGTTGCCACAACAAACGATATTCAACAAAAAATAAATAACAAAATGATATTTAACGAAATTCACGCCTTTAACGGTTTCGAAACTTAACGAAAACTCGGGCAACAACAACTTTCGTTCTCATTTTCGAAAATAGCATTTGAATATTGAAGGAATTAGTTTGAAGACCGTGTCAGTCGTTGCCCAAACGCGACGCGATGCGACGCGCACCACACTAAATGCCGTCCGAGCGAACCGAACGATCCAAACTATATAAAAATAAATCGCATCTAAGAACAAAAACAAAACAACCGACAAAAAAAAACACACAAAACCCAAAAAAATTAAGCAGCAATCGGTGCCAAAAATTTCAAAATTAGAGTGGAATATCGTAAAGTGTGGTTGTGTACAGCTTGTTGTCGTGTAAATAACAGACAAATCTTTATGCAAATATAGAAAAGATATATGAAAAAATAAAATAGACCAAAAACCAAAACAAACATGTCCACAATCAGCGCTAGGCGCAAGAGTAGCGGCCAGTTAGAGGTTATGCAAAAAGCTGGCTGGAAGATCGATGAGAATGAGAAAGGTAAAGCGAAAGCATAAAATGTCAACAAACAATTCTCTCTCTCTTATTCTCTCTCGCATAGCCTGCTATATAGACATAGAGGAGGATGATGATGAGGCAAATGAAAAACTGGATGAATCGCAGCGCGTTTACTCCAGATGGTCCGAACTGCCCAATCTGGTGCTGGAGGATATTTTTGCCTATCTAACGCCCAAGGAACGCTACTATGCCAGTCTGGTAAGTAGGCTCCATTTCAGTCGAATAGCCAACTCAAGGTACGCTCTCCAGGTTTGCCGGCAATGGTATAGCGCCTTCTATTTGCCCACCGTTTGGAACAATTTTGTGGTCGATGATCGCACTTTGACGCGCCCCAAGTACAATTATTACTCCGGTTGGCAATATTGTTTGGATCATATGCGTACACAGAACTGCCTGGCGCGCATCGGTAGACACCTGAGAGGCATCGAGTTTCGACCCTGGCATAGCTTCAATAACATCTATCAGTTTATGACGATGTTATCTTGGAGCATGGATAAGGTAAACGAACAGGAATATATAAATGAATATGGAAATTTTAATCCCTGATCTTTGATAATACATGAATGATATATAGACGGATGAGGCTTGCTATAGTAAGCCTCATGTATCCGAGCATTATTCATGAATAATTTATACTTATACATATATAAAATGAAGTATTTTATACTTAAATTAAGAACAAACGACCTTAAAATTCATCCGGGTTGTACTTGCATTTCTGATAATTCCCAAAATACTTAACTTAAAATCATTTTGGAATATTTTTATACATTCGGCATTATGTTAGCGGCGTTTTTGGACATACTTATGCGTTTACCGTCTTTATATAATCCTTTACTTACTTATATAAAGAATGAGATGGACTTGAATAAAGTTTCTATAAGCTATAAATAACTGAAATTCTTTTAAAAAAAACGTCTCATTTAAACTTTTTATTTGTACAGGGTCAGGAACAGAATCCACAACCCGAATTGGTGGGCATGGGTCGTCGCATACGCTCCTTGGTCTATCATTTTCCCTGCAATATGTCGCAACCCAATGATCCCGAAGGCATCAAGCTCTTTGGCACCGGCGGCCAGCTGTTGAAGGGTCTTAAGGAGCTGCTGCTGCGTCTAACCGATCTGCACACGCTGAAGCTGGTTGATTTTGTGCTGGAACGCTTCGAGGCGAATCACTTGCTGGATGAAGTCGTTTGCAGTTGCTGCACAAAGATGCGCATCCTTAATCTGGTGAATGTGACCACAATGCATTGTCCCATTATGCATGTGGGTCTGTTTCTCAATTTGCGGGTGAGCTGTTGTCCATGGAAAACATAAACGCAACTAACCACAAGAGGTCAACAGGTGCTCACAATTTCGCCACAAAACATAGATGATGATGTGTTATCCCTATTGGCGGACACCAAGCTGCGTCATTTGCATTTGCTGCAAAACCGATATACGCCCAACCATCTGAGCATCAGCGCCTGCGGCGTCAAGGCCTGGCGCAGTCTGAAGGCCACCAATCCGCGGCTGAAAGTTCATCTGCGCGTTGAGAATCTGGTGGATGGGGATGTGGTGCTACAGCCGGAGGCACCAGTGCACAGCATCACCTATTGGGCACCACAGGCGCGCATACGAACCGATCTGCTGCTGCGCATGGTGGATCACTACAAGAACACATTGGCCGTCTACGGTCATGAGCTGTTGCCGCGATTCAGTAGCCCAAAACCATTTCACAATCGCATTGACAGTCTGTTGTTGCTGATGTGTCGTCAATGCATCTATCTGAACACGCTGGTATATATAACTCAATCATCCTATATATATATTATAATGGGGATTTCTAGTTCAATTTGCTGAATAAGTTCACTCGTTCATTTTCTGGCCGTGAACTAAATCGGTCATTAAGTTCACTCGTTCAGCTATTCAGTCGGTCATGAACGATGTTCTGCTCAGCTATTCAGTCGGTCATGAACTATTCGCTTAGTTCAGTTATGCAGTCAAATCAAAAATGAAATTAAAATCCCGCTATCTTTTATGTTTATTAAGAACTGAAAAAAAAAGTTGCATACAACGTTCATGATCGACTGAACGAGTAAAAGAATGTATCTTTCATGACCGACTGAACGAGTACAGAATACATCGTTCATGAACGACGAAATAGCTGAACGAGTGAACTAAATGACCGATTTAGTTCACTAACCACTGAATAAGTTCAGAAGTTCATATTAATGACCCGTTCAATCGAACTTGGTCTGACACAACTCTAATATACTTATATGCTATCTAGGCATTGCCCGGAATTGCCAGGTCAAAATTCAATTTTCCACCTATTGCCCGTCCGTGTGGATTTTGCGCATGGTCTGAAACCCGACTTAAATGAACTTTCAAAAAGATACTTTAAAACAAAAAGATCTTAAAACATAACCCATAAAATAATTGAAACACCTTACAAAATAAATTGTTCACAGGTATGTGTGAATGTGCTTCAATCTCTTGTAAAATCCAATACTGGATTGAAAATTTGACAGTTGCAGTTTCTACATACATTTTAGGGAAATTTTCAATGCCATCGGAATATCTAGTCCAAGTCTAGAGAATAGGCCAAAACTGATTTAAAACTTAATCAAAAATACTTTGGCATAGCCAGGTAATAACTGCTAGAAATTGTTTATAACTTATCAACTATTACTCTCTAGGTCATACGCGAAAAAGTGTCCACTTCAACTTTGCTCCTGCTGGCACGTACCGCAAAGAATCTACAGCAGCTGCACGTGCGACGCTTTGCTGTCATCTTGAGATGCGACTGGCCCCGTCATCCGGAGTGGAGCGATGAGTTTCATTTGTGGCTGAAGCGCAACTCGCGCTCCTATGAGGCGGTCGAACGTGAAATCTCCCAGATATTGGGCTATAACTGGAATTTACTCAGCGATCGCGAATTCAAGCAGCTGACGCTGAATGTTAAGGCGGGCGCGTAAAAACACGCCCACTTTATATTAAAAAAAAAAAACGAAAGAAAAAACTGCGACTTGTGATAAAAGGTGTAGAGCTTTATTAGTTGATGAAAAAAATAAACCAAATATTTATTGAAGAAATTATTTCGGTTTTTTTCTTGTGGGGAAAAACATTCTTTAGATTAGTCGCTAATTTTTGGAGAAATTTTTAACTCACATTTTTATTTGCCAACCAGTTCAGATGGGTATAAAAGCGTGATTTTAACTATGAGCGCTGCTCAGTTTGTATACATAACTCGACGGATTATGAAGGTCTTGGCTTTTTTTTTGGTGTTTTTGGGACTTCTTATGACTGCACTGGAGACTGCGCCGGCGCCACATTTCAGCGTGGGTCTGCCCCTGCCCATAGCTGTGTCTACGCCGTATTATGGATATTCGTCGCCGTATTACTATCCTCATCATCATCATCATCATCACCATCATGAATACTATTCGTCGCCCTACAGCAGCTATCATCATTATTCGCCCTATGTTGATGCATACCCTGAAGTCTATTGGTAAATCGCTTCAGTTTAGAAAATACTGTCAAACTAGTCAAAATAAAATTGAAAAGCGGTTTTAATTTATTTTAAGAAAAGACATAATTTGCGTTTTATTTGCGTCGACCGGTGGCTGTCTATTTGTGTGAGTGATTGTTTAAAGAATTAGGAAACGTTCAAAGCGTGCATACTGCAGTAAAATAAATAAAAGATATTCAATTTATGTTCCATAAAATATAACATAACAAATCCAACAAATTTGTAGTAATTTAGCTTCAATTTATCTGCCATTTTTAAATAAAACACAGGCAGATCAAATTTCCCCGATGCAGATGCATGCACTCTAAAAGCTCGTGAAGCCACAAGACTCAGAAGGTTTTTCAAAATACGCTAATAAAACTTTATCTCAGCCTAAGCTAAATGTGCTTAGTAACTTGGCTGAGCTTTAGGCAGGCTAAGCTTTAGACAGTCACAGCTTTTTTACAATCTTTAGTACAGCAGTTACCAGAAATGCAAAAAAGCTCACTTTAGCAAAAGCTCACGCCTATTTTTGACGCAACGACCTTGAAGAGGCGGCAACAACTAAAACAACAAGAACAACAAGCGGCAAATCAATGCAGCCGCTTGCAGTGCATCCACGCAATACTCAATGTCAATGTCGCAAAAGCTTTTAGCGCGGCAGTTGCATACTTTCAGGCGGCATATTACGTATACGCCACCAAGCCAATAACTAAATAGATATTTAAAAATAAATTAAATTAAAAATATATATTTATATATATATATCTTTATACATTCGCAAGCAATAAGCGATCTGAGCAATTGTTTTGTGTGCTCGCGAGCATTTTGTTAAACAAAAATAAAAAGAACCTTTTGGGCGACCAGAGCAAACTGTTGCTGTTTGTTTGCTGACGGGGGCCCAGTTTTATGGTTGACAGTGAAGGCGCCGCATGCCAAATTTTGATCATGACCGCGTAAAAAAGAAATACTGCTGTATATCTCTACATATATATACTATATATATATGAGGTGCCAATAAAAAAAAAAAACAAAAAACCAAACAAACAATCAAAATACGTCTGCTTTAATTAATTGAAAGAAAATATTGTGTAACTCGCCCGCCTTGAAATGAATAAAACCATACTGCACTGGAGCTATTTAAATTTCAAAGATGTGCCCATGGACTTGTTTCTGTATGAGGATCTCGAAGAGGTCTATTTAAAAGAGAACTACATATCCGTAATACCCAAATGGCTGCTCAATATTACCACACTCAAGTTTATACACCTAGCTGGCAATAATCTCAGTGAGTTGCCAGCGGATATTTATATGCTGGAGAATCTCGAGTTTTTGGATGTGTCCAACAATGAGCTCACAGAGCTGCCCAAGACATTGGGTCTGCTGCTGCGCCTACAGCAGCTGAATGTGAGTGGCAATCAGCTGACCGAGCTACCTGTGGGTAAGAAGCCGCCCACTCAGCTTCCACATTGCCATTGTACTCATTTCTATGTACTCTTCCTGCAGAGCTGAATACCTTGCGCAATTTGGAGCATCTGAATATTGCCAAAAATCAATTTCGCCGCCTGCCCCTGCAGCTCAGCGAATGCGTGCGCCTCAACGAGCTGAACGTGAGCGACAACGAGGCGCTGCTGCATCTGCCCGAGCGAATTGCCAATCTACCCATGCTGCAGTCGCTAGCTGCCGATCGTGAGTGTTTCCCAAAAAAAAACAAAAAAAAACAGTCTCTTTGGACTCTTCTCTCACTCTTGCAGGCTGCGCTCTTGTTTATCTGCCGGCTGCGCTCTCCAAGTTCATGAACCAGGTGCGCATCTTTCACAACACCTGCGTCAACTATATACCCATGATCTATGAACGTTTCTATCAGAATTTCTTTGATAATAGACAAAAAGTGACGCCCATGTGAGTAGAGAAAATGAACGAGAAAACGGACTATCATAATCGTGGCAAGTATTTCTTCTGCAGTTCCATCTCCAAGAAGGGTCTCTTCTGGGTGCGTGAACTGGAGTCCCAGAAGCGCCTGCTGCTGCCCGTGGGCACACGCAATGTCTTTCGCGTGCCCTCGCCCGAGAATCGGGTCACGCTCTACGATGATTGTTTGCATGCGCTGCAAACGCTGAATCGCCACCTGCCCGTCTATGAAAATGCTGCACTGCATCGCCTCCTGCCCGAGCCCTATATGAGTGCACACATCAACACTGGACCCATTGCTCGCTGCACGACTACCAACTGCTCGAGATGCCTCTATACAACCTACTACTTTATGGTCGTCAAGCGGTAAGTCTATGGGGCAGCCATTGTTTTTGCGCTTTGCTAAAAGAAACCGGTTTGGTTTTTAGAGATGTCGCGACTACGACCCAATAGAATTGCAAGAACTACAGTAACACCCGCTTAGATTAAATTTAATATCGAGTTGTGTTGCTTATGTGAGCTTAAGAGTGAGCGCTCAAAATCATTAATATTCCTTTCTATTGCTACACTTTTTATTTCCATTACAACCTCAATTTTCTTACATTTTCCGTCTTCTTATTATTTTTCGTCTGACATACTTTTATTCATATATATATTCATAGTAGGATCATAGGATCTTCTAATGAGAACATGCATGTGCATAATACGATCCACATATTATTTTTATTCCCATTAGATAATTTTTACATATTATAATTAGATCTGTTTGTTCTGACTGACTGACTGACTGACTGAAATTGACTAACTGACTGACTGTCTGATTGGCCCAAAACGTAAGAGCTAGGAAGCTGAAATTTTCACTGTGGTCACATTATGTGATGAAGGTGTACGTTAAGACGGGGTTTCGAGAAATTCCACCCGCAAGTATGGAAAAATCGCAAAAAACGTTTGTATGGAACTTTTTTGTTTACCATCCGATCGGCCTCAAACTTAACTACAAAGATTTTGTTAAAATTCAATTCCAAAGTTCTAGATAAAAAATCATTTGAGACGTGTTTCAGATTTTTCGGGGGAAAGTGCATTTTAACACGATCTACATAATACGATCTAAATATTAATGTAAGATAATTTTTATAGCAATATTAGATCATTGTTATATTATTTCTATCCAAAACTATTATATTAAGAAAACTTGTGGATATTGTAAACCCAATATTATTTATATCCAAAACTATTATATTAAGAAAACTTGTGGATATATTCCTAGTCATGACTTGAACGAACATGTTGTAAGGAGAACAGTATGCCCAATGAATTATCACTTACCCGCCGATCCCTTTGCTTTGTCTTCAAACAGATTTCTTCTTTATATTTGCAGACGCGGCAGTGCCTCCAAGCAGCTTTTCACTTGTAACTTCTGTACACATAACTGCGCATTACAATGGCTTTCCAGCAATGCGAAAAAATATTATCAGCTAGACTGGAAAGTTTCCGATGATGACGACGATGATGATGATGTTGTTGGTAATCATGATGATAATAATGGTGATACTGATTAGGATGTAGAGTTAACTTGTGCCGCGATGTTTGTACAAAAAATTAGCATTGATTAATTAGACGTTAGTTTTATAATTGTTATTTAAATGCTTAAGCTTGTTAAAGCGGTCATTTAAGTGTCCCAATAACCAACGGCAGCCGGCGCCTTGATATATGGTAGGGTATACAAAAATATAATTATTAAATCCACAGGCTCAGCTTAGACAAAGCTTTGCGTCAGGCCACGTTCATGGACATGCACATAATCATCCAGCAGACAGTGAGCAGCTGTGGGATATGCTTGGCGGCAATCAACGCCATGTTTTCCCATTCTATAAGCATCCAGATAGGGCGTAGCCAGAGATCTATGGGGTCTAAGCAGGGTATAGTGTAGCAATTAGTTACTAGTCGTAGTGTAACCCTTCTGTTCAATGACTCACCGTAACAGTCTGTGCAGCAGCTGAGCGTAGAGTCCATTGTGCTCATGCACCTGACCATTCTCGCATATCGCACGCTTCAGGCAGGCTTTGCCATCTTGGCCACGTTGATTCATGTACTCCTCCGCAAACTCATACAGCAACTGCTGCGGCTCATCCACTTGCTGCTGCTGCTCCATATTAGCTTGTGCCTGCTCTTGTTGATCGTTCGATAGTTTTAGTGGTCCTTTAAGATCACGTCCATTCCACAGGTTCCACCAATATATGGGCTTAGTTGGCTCCGAGAATTGATAGTGGTAATTCATTAGCCAGACCAGCTGGCGCCAGGCATTCTTCTCCTGGAAGTCCACAGGAAATGCGGTGCCAGTTACCATCTGTAAGGTTTTCAGATCAAGGTCAAAAAGGGTTTTTTTTGGGAATGCAGCCTTACCTTGATAACGCCACCATCCTGATAGATCAGAAAACGCTTCTGTCTGCGGTGTTGACGCCAGGCAGTCAGATTTGCGCCCATTGCATGCACTGCTTCCAGCGCCAGAAACAGCAATGTGATCAGCGTACTGTAAAGGAAGTAAAACACATATTAGGTACATATTATTACAGTGGTCACTCGCAAAAACGAACGTTCTTTTATTCGCTTTAAGTTCTAAGCACTTGTTAAAATTCGTAAACTCTAAAGTCTTTTTAAATAAGACAAATAAAATTTTGAATTATTTTAAAATAAGGCTGCCTTTTCAAATTTTTAGCAACTAATGTTTTTTTTTTATTATCCTATAGCTTTATTCAACGCACATTGACTTCATTTTATCCGCTTGTTGTCTTCGTCGCTCGAGCGTTAAATCGTTTATGTTTTATCTGTAGCTCGGAACGCTTTCGATTGCATCGGCTTGAAGACCCGTTCTAATGACAATCCCGTGTGTGTGGTGTGAGAAAAGTTCACGTGCTTTCCTACTTTTACATATGCCGCTTCAATTAACACGTCTGCATTGACTGTTTCCACTTTGTTTGCCTACATGGAAATGTATTGAATGTTTTCGATAAGCCAAATAGGCGCACCTGCACGTCACTAATTAACTCAATGGTGTAGAATGCCCTTCAATCTATTCCAAATGACTTTTGATACCCAGAACCTTTTTGATAAAGGGTAAAGAGGATTTAATATTGTGCAAATGCAAAATTCTATGTTACAGACTGACCCTACATATGCTCAATAAAGATCACGAGCTAAGTCGATTTAAGTTTGAGCTTTTAAATGTAATAGATTATAATTGCAAATCTGAATTTTTTAAATATTAGAGCTCGCCCTGAAATAAACTAAGAGTTCATTTAGTTTTATTCCACAACATTCCGCACGTTCAGCCGGCCTCATGCAACTTACGACGTATAGCCAAAGTAGGGCAAGTGGCCGGGAAGGGGAACCACAAATGGGAATCCTTGACTACCAGCCCGTTGGGGCAACCAGTTGCTGCTGGCGCTGCTGCTGCCATGGCAAGCATCGGCATTGCCATAGAGCTGTTTGTTCCATTTATCGAACTGCAAAAAAAAATGTCGAAACAGTTCCGTAGCTCAAAATCGACTGCCACAAATTTTTAATTTTGCAACAAATTCGGCTAGCAAAATTTGGCAAAACAAATTCTAAATTTAGGTGTTAAAATTTAAGATAAACATAAATTTACCGTTAAAATGCTGCGATTGCCGGGAATGCCGCTGCTGCCAGGTGCGCAGTTCTATGACGTGAGTAGTCCAAAACAGGTTTACCAATGTTTGTTCCCTGCTGAGCTCCCGCATCTACCTCTTCCCATAGTACAGCAAGCGGCGTCATCCGCGGCGTCAAACATTAATGCACTATCAGGGCATACATATGCTCTCGGATCACCGTGAGCCGGAGCTGGTCGAGCCCAACGGACCGCTGGTGGATCTCAATTGTCCGCCAGGGCATGCCGAGCTGAATGCACCGTGGGCGCCCAAGATGACGACCAAGCTGCCACCTTGGCTGGCCTACGACAAGCAGGTGCTCTGCTTCAATGCGTACTTTAAGGAGCCGTTGACCGAGGTATATCATGCGCCCTATCAGGTGCGTAAGGTGAAAATCTACTTCTATCTGGAGGATGGCACCATGCAAATCACGGAACCCAAAGTGGAGAATTCGGGCATACCGCAAGGCTGTCTTGTGCATCGACAGCGCATACCCAAAGCGCCACCCAACGAACGCGAGTTTCTATCCATTTTCGATCTCAATGTGGACACCAATGTACAGATCTTTGATCGGAACTATCACATCAGTGGCTGCGACATTTTCACCAGGCAGTTTCTCAGTCGCGCCGGCATAGCGGTGCCCATGGCGCTAATGGAGCCCAAGTAACTATCGAATTTGTTAAATCCTTGCAGAGGGGGTTTCCCATTGTTATACCTATGAACCTATTGAGTCGAGTTGATTTTGTCCTGTCCGTCTGTTCAAATTCAACCGTATCGGAGCTGCCATAGGAATGATTGCTCAACAATGTATCAAGATTTCTATGATCCCTATATAAAAACCAAATCTTACCTACATCAGACCACTATATCACATAGCTCTCTAGGGAGAATCGATGGAAAAACGAGTTTTTGTGTGCCGAAATATGCTGTTTTTCAGTAAATCCGCCAAACTCAGCAATAACGAGCCTTACAATTTTCCCCACACAACTGCAAAGCTGGTTTCCCATGTCTACAAGGGTATTTAATCCTCGGCGTGCCGAAGCTTTTTTTCCATTATTTAATGTTAAGCAGAGGTCAACTTAGCTGTCTGGTTCTGCCTTTTCAGTGATCCCACTACAGAGCTGCGCAAACGTTCCGCCGTGAAGCCAACGCCTCGACCGGAGACGAGCGCCTTGCCCAAACGGCATGCATTTGCACAATTTCTGGAGTTTGATCGGCACGTGCTCAAATTTCAGGGCTACTGGAACGATCGTTCAGATTTTGGTGATGTACGTCGGCTGGACATATGTTATTATCTGGCCGATGATACCATGGATATTAAGGAGAAGTTTCCACGCAATTCGGGCCGCGAGGGAACCAGCACATTTCTCAAACGCGCCAAGCTCCCGAAGGATTTCACGGGTCTGGCGCTGCCGGGTCAGCAAACCGCTGTCACCTTGTTGAATGTGCTAGGCACCAATATGCGTGATGTACGCTACGTGACAGATCCCTTAAATACTGGCCAGAAGCAGATTGCATATTACACAGACGAGGACTTGAAAATTGGCGCCGTGTTGAAGGTCTTTGGACGCCATGTGGTGCTGACCAGCTGTGATCAGTTCACGCAGCACTATTACAGAGAAAAGGTGTGTGTGAAGATTAGGGAACTCAATTTTATTTATAGTTTTTACATGTTTACCATTTATTTTCTGTCACCAGTATGGGATTCAGGACTTTACACCACAACCCGTGCCGGATCGCAGCGATGAGCGCGCCTCTAATCCATCTCAGGCACGCCGTTTGCCGCCCTACAATGGCTGGGGCAGCTATGAGGACTCGGAGGGCAATTGCATTACAGTGGAGCCCAAGGCACCGCAGGCGGATTTCAAGAAGCTCATGAAATATGATGGCTGCATTCTGCGCTTTGGTGCCAAGCTGATGTCCAGCATACGGGAGAACTGCGAGCGCAGCTTTGTGATAAGTTATTATCTAGCGGATGATACCATCCAAATCTATGAGATACCACGACGCAATTCGGGCTTTATGGGCGGCGAGTTCCTGAAGCGTGCACGCGTGCCGCTGCCTGGCCAGGAGAAGTTCAGCTCAGCCAGACCGGAATACTATCGCGCCAACGACTTCTACATAGGGGCCAGATTGAGCTTCAAGGATCACAACTTTCACATCATTTCAGCCGATGAGTTTACGCTGCTCTACATGGAACAGCATGCCAGTGAGGTGGGTTGAAGATGTTCTTCTGCTTTGCCTTCAGCTGTACAGCCAGTCTTTCTCTTTGCAGTTTCCTGTGGCGGACATACGCTCAATTATGCAGAAGATTCGAGAGGCAGTTCGTCCGCAGTACAAACAGTTTGTACTGCGCTGCCAGCCGAATGCAGATCTGCGCGATGGCACCACCATTAGCTTTGAAACGTTGAAATCCACGCTACTCGCTTTTCTCTCAAAGGAAGCACTGCTCAACCATGAGATTGTCACGGTTTGTCGGTTTTTCTCCGCAGAGCAAATGCCGCCACCCAGCTGCGATAGGAATCATGTGCGCGCCGCCGCACAGCTCGAGCTGAAGCGCGCGCTGTGGAACAATGTGGATGAAATTGTTGAGCATTTTAGTCACATCAATCCAACAGGCAAGCCGTTCATTACAGAGGCACAAGTTAGATCCACGCTGCGCGGCTGTCGGTTGCCTTTTAGTCTGGAGCTGGTGGAGGATATACTGCAGGTACTGAAGCACAATGAACAGGGCGAAATTGAGATGCGCGATGTGCTAGGCTTCTTCGATATGAGCGGCGATCAGGTGCCCGACATAGCACCAATTAACATTGCCTTCGAGTTGTGTCCAAAACTGCCCTTTCTTCACAAGGGTCGCCTGTTGGACTTTAATTGGTTTCTGCATTATCTGGGACTGGAGGAAGAGCTGGTGCGTGACAATCATTGATATTCCAAGTCGGTTTAAATTCGACGGTTTTAGTGCAAGAAACTTCAACAAACCGCAAAATTATAATCATTCTGTCATTTCTAGGTTTGTTGTAGAATGTTGCACTAAATTCTATCTTATAATAAACAAAAAGTTAAAAGTCTTCGGAGTGTCGAATATAAATTACCCTTGCATGCATGTAATAGTTGTGCGTTATAATTCTTATACAAAAACTCTACATTTGTTTGTATTAAAAAAGTTAGACAGACAGACGGACTGGCAAAGCTATATCAACTCCTGATTTATTAATTTATATATTTACTTTATGCGATAGTCTTTTCATGATAAAAATTATTATTACTTGCTGCAAAGGTACAAAAAGTTAAAACATAAATTTTGTCCTATTTAACTAGGTGTCTATATAGAACTAAATTCAGGCACAAAATCCGCTTAGATGCGCGTACAATTAAAACTTTGTGTCTGAAATTCTACTATCGTTGGTTTTATAAAAATTTCCATGTTGTGTATATACAAAGAAAATATCGTGACAAATGCATTTTGAAAATCTTTTAGGAATGCGCGAAACTGTGTGCTTATAAACTAAGTTGTAAACGTTGTTGCTTATAAAAACACAAACACAACACATATATACGACTGTGTTTGTTGTTTTACAGTTTGGACTCTGTGAGCCAATTGAACGATTGTGGCTTTCGATCTGAAGAGGGACTGATTGCCACGTTTATAATAGTGGGCCTATCCGTTAACTGATTGGCCGCCTTCACTGCCGCCTGCAACTGTTTGATCTCGGTGCAGAAATGGCCCTGCATGCCAAACATTTTCATCATCTCCTCGTAGCGCACCTGAACGCCCAATGCTGACGGCGGTGTGCTATAAGTAAAGAAGCAAAGAGCACGATAAGATTAGCTACTAGTTATAGGCCGAGATAAGATGCGAATCTTACATTTGTGTTAAATCGCCCTCGCTGCGTATGGCGTCGAAGGTGTCCTTATCAAAACCGCCGTAGATGCCATTGTTGTTCACAATAACAATGGTAATGGGCAGCTTATAGCGCACCATTGTCTCGATTTCCATGCCCGAGAAGCCAAAGGCGCTGTCACCCTCCACGCAGAGCACACGCTTGCCGGGCGCAAAGTCACGGCAGTAAAGAGCAGCTGCCACGGCAAAGCCGGGACCGACGCCCATGGTTCCAAAGGTGCCGGCATCAAGACGATGACGCGGCTGCTCATTGAGCAGCATGGAACGACCAATGTCCATCGTATTGGCGCCCTCACTAACAATAATAGTATCACGTGGCAGTAATTCACGCAGATGATGGAAGACTGTATAATAGTTCAGCGGCGTCGCTGTATTCAATGACATCTGCTGCACTGTATCACGGTTCTGTTTGCATTTGACCACCAGCTGTTTCCACCAGTCTTGCTCGTAGCCAAAGCGAAAGTTTACGGCGTTCATTTGCTCAAACAACTGCTCCGCAAAGGGGCGTATGTCCGACTGTATGGCCACTGATGCGACAACCGAATTATGTAGCTCCTCGGGACAAATGTCCACCTGTATAAATTTCACATCCTTATCGTAACGAGGCGGGCGTCCAAAATGTAATATCCAGTTGAGGCGAGCTCCCAACAACAGCACGACGTCAGCTTTTTGCAGGGCCAGTGTACGTGCCGAGGAAACGCACTGAGCAGCCGTATCAGAGACGACACCCTTGCCCATGGGCGTGGGCAGGAACGGCAGATTTGTGTTTTCAATAAAATGACGCAGTGTATTCTCCGCATGAGCATATGCTGCGCCCTTGCCAATAATCACGAGCGGACGCTTGGCCTGGCGCAGCAACTGAGCAGCCCGAATAACATCATCATGGGGCGGATAGGCTAATGGAGCAATGGGGTGAGGCACAGATTTGTAAATGCTCGACTCTATCGCCTTCGATTGCAGAATATTGCCAGGGAAATCCAGATAGGCCACACCAGGACGTCCATAGGTGGTATAGCGCACAGCCTTCTCAACATGCAGCGGAATCAGTGCAGCAGTTGGTGGACGTGCTGCATATTTGCAGTAAGGACGCGACAGTTCTACCTGTGGACACTCTTGGAAGCCGCCAATGCCCTCATGATCCTGATTCGTGGCACCACCAATCACAATCAGTGGCCAACAGTTGACTTGAGCATTAGCCATGCCACCTGAAAGTAGCAAAACAATTTAATACATAGCAAAACTGGAAGGTATTTCTCTTAAATTACCCGTCACGTGCAGCAAACCGGGTCCAGACACAACCAGACAGACGCCAGGCTTCCCCGTCAGATAGCCAATGGCTTGAGCTGCATAGCAGGCGGCCTGCTCATTGCGCATACCAATGTACTTCAAGCCAGCGGCCTGAAAGGCCATCGATAGCTCAATAACTGGTATTCCAATAATGCCGAACACATATTCCACGCCCTGCAAATTAAGACAAACATATTTGCAATGTTAATTAGTAAAACCTATAAAAGTATACCAGACTATTTAAAACAGAGTAATGCTATTTTCGTCCGATGTTAATAAGATTTGACTCATGTGTGTGTTATAAGATAACTTGGAAGGAAACAAAGTTTTTCATACATGATCTTTTGTTTAAACAGATCGTTCTAACACTACCTTATGAAATAATGGACCGATGTTAATAAGGAGCAAAGTGAAACTTATAATTGTCGAGTTTGATCAAGATATCTTGGAAAACACAAAAGTTTTTCCAACAAGAAATGACCTTTCAACCGATTTATAGGAACAAACATGGCAATATCTACTCGGCCCATTAAAAATATATGTGCTTTTTGGTGTCGCAGATGGTTCTTGCGACGTGATACACGTTGTTCAAGAATTTTGTAATACTCTCTGCAAAGGGTTTAAAGTTCAATTGAAAAAATTATAATGTTAAAATTTCCTTAAGACTTTATTCAAGTTCTTATTGATTTAATCAGCTGTTAAACTCGTGTGATTTACTGCTTTAATGCGATGGGGACATGTGTTAAACCTTTGGAATATTGGGGGGCTGTCGCTCGTATCTAGATCCGCTCGTATCTATATCGCCATATAGAGCCACCGGCTAGCAACAACAACACGCACACTACACACAAAATCATACACAAAAGCAGGCAATAACATTGCTTGGCCACTTTTTGAGTGCTTTTTGAACTTTGCACAACAGAAAGTTGGAAAGATAAGCAGTGCGGCCCTGGTGCCGTTAAATCTACAGTTGAACGTACGTCGCATTCTTTTCCCCTCACGGCTAGTATGCAAAAAGTGCATATCATAAGAGACAATAGGAAAAGATGGTGGGGCAGACAATGGCCACCGATTAGCTTACCTGTTGCTTCAAAGATTCCGCAATTATTTGCACAGCTTCGACTTCGGCCATTTTGACGTTGTGTATAGTACTAAATGTATAAAGTAATGTGCGCTGTCGCGTTTATACTGCGCTTATAAATAAATAAAGTTAACTTACTAAAGCAGAGTTGCCTTGCGCGTTTGCACACACATATGCACTAACAGAAGCGTGAATGTAGTGACAAGCACTTAACAGTTTGCTGAACTGTTAAGAACAGCTGCTAGACATCTTATAAAATAAATGTTATACTCAAAATTGATCTGTAACGAAGCAAGGGTGAATCGGTTTGATAGTGGGCACATTATAAATCGATAGGTGCGCGGCGATAATTTTTTTTAAATGCAAGTAAATGATAAAAAAAATAAGTAATGGGTAGAGCTATACCGATATTAAGGTAGATATAAAATAACAACTATTCATATTGTAAGACAACATGATTGGCAGTAAGAAATATTAAACAAAATGTTCAACATATCACTCCTAATTATGATCGATCATATTACTTAAAAAACTGGTGTAATTTGTGCACATTTTGAGTAGCAATTAATTTATATTTTAGTAGTTGCGGTTGCAATTTCGAGAAGCCTCTCAATATTTGTAAACAATTTTTGCGTAACGTTTTTGAGATTATATATTTTTAGAAAGCTTTGTTGACATGGTTGCTTCATAGGCTCACGGCCGTGAAGTTAATTTATTAAAACTGAATTATAAACAAAAACAACAACAAAAAACGAGGTTTGCAGTTCTGCATTTTGATTAACATTTAACTAATTGTTGTGTCAACTTGGGGTTTTTTGCTTGAATGCGCAAAAATTAACGTTTGCAGAGACCGCAAGCAGTTCGAGTGCTTCCCCCCAAAAGAAAACAAAAACTAAGGCCGTTGACAAATTTGACTTCTTATGTCTATGTAAAAAGACAGGTTTTGAATAGACAACAAGGTTTTTAACTGAAGCGGGAAGAAAGATCTTGAACAGTAGAGGAAACTCTAGAAGAAACCAATAGACGTTTGGAATTTAAATACTTATTATCATAGTACGGAGCTAAGTCCCTTACATTTATTCAAATCGTAATCGAGTAAAATAGGGCACATAATAAAAACAATATCTTTTACAAAAATAAATACACAGCATTAACTTTAATAGGACTCGTTATTAATGTACCCTCTATATAGGTACATTAACATATATACAAACGTACGTACGTCATAATTATATGGCATTAGTACTACAACATCACAGCCAATTGCCAAGGCACAAACTACAACTTTGTATTGACAACATCCTCATTTGGCTCGGTGGTCTGCACCTCATTCCATTTTTGTATCTTCCCCGACCCGAAGATCCAGAAAAATATGGCAGGCAAAATGTAGGCCGCTGCGCCAATCACAAATACCCAGAACCACTCATCGATTGTGTTCTATAGAAGAAGAAGAAATAAAAACGCAGTTCATTAGAAAACAATTGAGTGGGAGTAGCTGCTTTGGACGCACCTTTTCATGGGTAAATGCGGCCACAATCAATGGCGAGAAGATGCCTGGTGTAGTGCCCAGGCAATTGATGATGCCGTACATGGTTCCCGCAAAGTTTGGTGCCAAATCCTGTGAGTTGGCCAAGTTTGTGGAAGTCGCAGCACCATTGAAGCCCAGCGATATGGTCATTATAGCCACACAGACGTAAGGATCGCGTCCGCAGAAGGCCAAAACTATGAGCATAACGCCTGGCAAGATGTGTGCTGTAAACAAATAAAAACAAATAATTTAGTTATTTAAGCAAAGAAAAATAATACTTTTGAGCGAATACTTACAGGGTATGCAGAAAAACTTGCGGGTGAACGTAATAGTCCACCAGCCCTTGCGTCGAATCCAATCCGCAACGGAACCAAAGCCAAAGGCAGCCAATAGACGTGCAATGTGTGGCAAACTGGACAGGAAACCCGCAGAGGACAGATTGAACCCGAGCACTTCGCTTAAGAACTTGGGCGTGGCCGTAATCAGGAAGAACAGACCCCACATGCTGCCGTAATGCAACAGAGTCAGCGCCCAGAATGGCATGGAGAATATCAGCTGTTTGTATGGCGGCCATTTCTGAAAGAGGGATAATAAATAAATATTCTATGTATTCCCATAAATACACTTGAAACTTACCGCCTTTTTGGCTAGTGTGCCGCCCAGACTGTTTTCAATGTATTCCCGCTCCTTGATGCTGATGGTGCTATGCTGCGCCGGCGTATCGCTGACCAGATAGAACCACAGGCCCACTACAATAACCACAAAGATGGCAACTGCATAGAAGGCCCAGACCCAGCCTAGACTCTCAATGATGAGGCCGCACAGTGGCCAAGTGATGACGGTACCGAATGTGCCACCCATCAGCGAGGCGACAAACTTGCCCTTCTCGTCCGGCGGCGACCATTTTGACACCAAATTGTGACAGCAGGGATAGACGACACCAGAAACGAGTCCAATTAGGAAACGTACTGCAAATACGGCATATTTATCCCAGGCAGCGGCCACCGGTGTCAATGCAGTCAGTAGAGCGCCCAAAAGACAACTATAGCCGGCCACATTGCGGCCACCGAGCATCTCGGCGAGCGTGCCACCTGGCAGTGAGGTGATCATATAACCATAGAAATAGCCGCCCAACAGCAAGGCCTGATCCTGTTGCGACCAATCGTATCGGTGGCCATACTGTGATTCAAAAGGATAATTAGTTCGGTTATATATAAACGCATGGCACAGGCTGTGTCCCGTACTCACATCTGGCTGTTCCACAAGTGTGCCATTCTCATCTCGGTCCTGTACCATAGCAATTATATTGATGGACAGATTGACGCGCATCATATAATTGATGAGGCACATCATGAACAACATTATGGCCACATTCACGCGCTTCGGCACATAAACTGCAAGCGACGAACAAAATATTGTTTATTAATTGAGAGTAATTGTTTATTTGCTATTTCTTTTTGTTTTCTATTTATTTATAAACTTCTAGTTCGGCTAGCGTTTGCCTTGCACATTAGAGCAATTAGCGTTAAATCTTAGATATGTCAACTTGAGCTTCATTTGAAGCCGGGGCCCGTCAGGTGTCTAATTAACGGCGCATGCGTAACTCGCAATATTTAACCTTTCAATTTTTCGGGGATTTCAGATTTTTGGCTGACGAACAGCATAACGTGAAATTTATTTATGTGCCATTTTGGCATCATTATTCGTTCCGTTTTATTTTCTTTATTATTATATTTTATTTGTTGCTGAAATGCTGAAATGTAAACAGTGTGTGTGTGTGTGTGTGTGTGTGTGTACTTACAGCAGGGCATAACAGCCATTTTGGCAGGTTGTTGTTGTTGTTGTTGTGCCACACGTCAATGTCAACTGAAAGACGATAACAGGAAACAGTTAAAGACTTTATTATGCATTACGCCTGGGGAATTTGCACTCAAGTTGTTTTAAGTTTGAATAAGTGCATAAATCAAAATTAAGCAAGAATGCGGAGGTGATTTTTTCCTTCATTTTTTTGGCAACGCTTTTTGTGTCATCTCAGCTCGCGTATCGCATATTCAGGTTTTAAAACTGGGAAATCTTCAATTGCTCAACTGAACAATTTGAATAAACTTAATTTCTTGGTATTGGCTTGTTAATTTATAATGAAAATAATGGCATGTATTTATAGCCAAATATTTCTTACTCAACGAGCAGTAAGGAAAATTTCCCTATACTATTATTATTAGTTATTTTATATTAAAATAGTTTTACACAATTTAGAACAATTTTGAATTAAAATAATTACATTTATAGGGTATTCACACTAGCTTTGCTTAGGTCACAAAGCGCCGGTTGATAAGTTTAACGAGTTCAGGAACGTGAATGCTCAACTTGAGTGGCAATAGGCTAATTTATATTAATAACTCTAGCTTTAACTATTTAAATAAGTGCTTCACGATTGAATGATCGACGAAGCGCGTCTGTTGCAAAACCCAGATATCATAATTTAAAATTATAATCAGTTTGATTGCGAACATAAGGAATAATATTTCCCTGCTTTTATGAGATAAAGGGAAATAACTTGTCGGTCGAGAACAATGTTATATGTTTGTCTAGTACTTTGGGTTTTAGTGCTCCATTTGGCAAACACGTGTCATTTAAATGCAATAATCATATTTATTTCCGACAATAAAGAGAGATATATGACTGTTATTATTTGACAAACAGTTTAAGCACGTCTCAGTTACCAATTTGACCACGCACGTGAGCAGCATTTAAGCCAAATTGAGTTATGAACATGACAAATAGCAATACGAATAACTAGTCATGCACTTTTTTATTTAAAGTGTTTTTGATTTAATTCTTGATTTTAAAAATAGCCGCCTATCATTGCCTGCCATTGTGGTCAGCCTTTTGATAAGGTAATTGTTCCCCAACACGCCACGCAAATTTTCAAATTGTTTAGATCAGCCAGTATTGTGCATTTGTGCAACAACAGCTTCAACTAAAAGTTACAAAAAAAAATCTGTTTTGGAGGAATTGAATTTGTAACTGCAACACTTGACGAGTGTGTTATATATATATATATACATATAATATTGCCCTTGGCACGTCGAATTCGTATATTGGATTCGATTTGGACAGCTGTTTGAAAGCCATTCACAATATTGCACATGCAGTTTTGCCAATGGCATGTAGCCTCGTCTAAATTGCGTCTACATATTAACGCGACAGGGTTAAGTAAGGCAGTTAGCCAGATACTTCTAGTACTAACACACACACATACTAGTAAAGTGAGCATGTGTTGGTAAGCGGGGATATTTTTGAATAGCAACTGTTCAAAATTTCACACATTTCGGCTGTTGTGTGACTAAGGGAAAATGTACCAAAAATGTTTACAAGCTAAACTTTTTCCTATCTTCTTTCTGTTGTTATATTTGGCACACTCCACTAGAAGTTTAAGAATCGAAGACAAAATTCTGCTGAACTAAACGCAACTTAATGTGCAGTCACATCAAAAACACATTACTGCTCAAGTGGCTAGGACTTTAAATAAATAAATATTTGAAATCTCAGCTAACCAAAAGAAAATTTACAAGTAACTGAATTGGTAATCGTCTGTAGATTGCAGCTGGCCATTAAATCATTTAAATTGTATTATAAAAGCCTTGTGGAAATAGCATATCATATTGGCTATTGCCACAGCTCAAGTTCCAAGAACAATACACATATGCATGGGCCTCTAAGTAGGCCCATAAATAAGTCTTTGTGTTTGCTGTGATAAGCAATCGTCTTGGTTTTGCCAAAGTTCTCAATGAACGGAAGAAATCCAAAACAAATAGAATAAAACTACAATATAAAAATACAACAAATACAACAGTTTTGTAGCCGAATAAAACAACAACAACAAAAATCGAAAGTTTGAGCAACCAGGCGCATAAAATATATAGCTCTATAATACTGGGTTATCATGTTATTGCAGTACGCAAACAAAAAACGAATAGCTCATTAAAATTATTGCGTGTAGCCACTAGGCTCTATGTCATTTTCTAGGTGTACGAATTCGACCGGTAGTTAAATATATGCATTTGAGGCGTATCTAAGTACATTTTACATATATAACTTCTCCATAGACACTCAAAAGACGTGATGTGCATTAGCATATGGCGTAATTTTATGCAAAAAATTAAAAATAAAATAAAAACCGAACCAAGAGGTCTAAGACCAAAAATAGATATCGCATTCAAAATACGCCATTTAAGATATCCCATGGGCCAGCGAAGTCGGATGACGGGTTCATATTAATTGGATTAAAGAATGCAAATAAACACAGTCAGTAAATAAACTTCGAGTCTGAAATTTATTGTATAACAACTGAAGAGCTTTAACAAAGTGCACATAAATTATATGTATAATAAATAAGCTTAAGCACGATTGCCTAATTAGCCCACTTAAGGCCTGGCTCCGTCTTGATTATCTTGTTGATACCCTAAAAGCTTATTTTAAAGGAAGATACAATTTTGAGCACTGCGAATAATATTATTGTATTATTATCTTTGAATATATTTGTTTATTTTTTGCACATCTATGTTCAAGTTTATCGAGAAAGTTGTTGCAAGGAACTTATTCGAAGGAAGTATATGTAAGGTTTTTCTTTTCAATATCAGCCAGTCATGGCACAATAAGAGACCTTCGTATGATTAAAAATACCCAAACTAATTTCCTTTCTCTTCACGCCAATTGTAAAATAACTTGTAGTAATTCACAGCTGGAACAAGTCAATTAACTTTTGATTAAAAGTCTGTTGCACGGTTCTCTGACTCAGATTTACAAATATCTTATCTGCAATCCATAAGCTACTTTAGCAACTTGGCGAATTTCTCACAACTGCGGGTAGAACCCGTCGTTACAGCCATATGTGCGATATCTAAATATAATGCACAGATTCAAAAAATGTACGGAAATAACCATGTAGCAAAGCAAAGATGCAAATAGACTGCGACTGCATAGTATCTTTGGCTTGAGAGTGCTGCTAATTAATTTGCCGTGTGCGGCTCTAATCAGGAGCGTGGCGCTTTATCAGCGCCAGGCTCTAAAAAATCAACTCAACAATTTATGACGTTATATGGCGAGGGCAAGGAAAAAATCGTAATTGTAAAATATACGATAAGACCTGGTCGTTTGATAAAGTAAGTGCCACTCATTATAGTTAGGTTAATCGTTAATTAGTTGTTAAATAAACACAACAACAAAAATGAATTTTTTAGACTTATTGTTGGACTCTGTCTGCAATCCTTGCTATTTATGAGGCTATACTGATTTGATTTATTGTTCGAGAAAAAGCTTATGGGGGGCTGCGATATCACGATATCGGTGTATGATCTAGGCCATAAAGCCCATCCATAGTGCACAATTAAACCGTTAGCTGTCGACACCCATGCACATAACGAATTATACATAAGCATAAGCGTATTATATACCCTATATTACATATTATATACCCATAGCACGCGTGCTTGAAGCATTTACATAAGACATGAGCACACAATTGACATGGTTTGGTAGTTTGTATCTCTCTCGATGTATTTGTTGTTATTGTTGTTGATTTGGCTTTTGAAAAACGTTTAAACAGTTCGGCTTTTTGTCAGTTTGCATGGCAATCGGACTGTTTTGTTTGTTTTGTATTCCTTTTTATTTATTTATTTTTTTTTTTTTAATTCTGCAAACTAATTCAATGGCAATGAACCGTGTCTCACATAAAATTGAAATATGTAATGCGCTTTACCAGTTGGCATTAGTAATTCTTGTTGTATTTTTTGTATTTTGCATTTTTTAGTTTTATTTGGATGTTACGTATTGTTGCTTGGTTCTCAGTAACCGAAACGAAATCAACCTGGGCATTGCACTAATTCCCATGGAATCACATTTTTGCACGTTATAATTAACTTTCGAATATAAGTCGAGAAAAAAATAACAACAACTTATTTGCACAAGCCACAATTACATGGTATACAAAAAAATGCGAAATATACTATAAACTAAGTAGTCAAAATAATTATTCATATAATTAGCAGCTTGATTTATGAAAAATCAATGCGAAAATTAGCAAGTTACATAGTAATTCAATAGATTAACACAAGCAAATCAAAAGACCTCAAAAAATTGATGGAAAAAACATCTAGAAATATCGTTAAACTTTGAATATTGCATAACATTTAAGTCGAAAATTTTGTTAGAAAGTCCGATTGAAAATCCCATAGAAGATCGATTGCGGGTCATCAGATTTTATACGAATTATTAATACGAATATTAAGAAACAGCTTCCGAAAGTCAGCATTTAAATAAACTAGCTTTCAGAATTCAATTTTAATTAAATGAATTATTTAAAATAATATCAGGCATTTTTTGAGACTCATTAAAAAAAGCGTGCCCAGAGACTAAACCAGTTGCCATATCAAATGCGAATTCATAACTGAAATGCATATTTTAACCCAAATAAAAATAAAATGATAGCGCCACACGCAGCTTGTAAACAAGAGAAATACATATATCAAATCGGCACGTGTTGGCCTCAGCTGATTTTGATGGAGGATGCTAAACTCCAAAAATTTGATATCTTTGATAACTTGCACTTGTCCCTTTGCATTTCACAATTGATCAGGCACTTCGTTCCGATACACCGCATAATTATATACACTTTATAACGTTTCGCTTGGCACACTTTGCCATATAAATTATTCGCATGCAAGAAATTTTTCCATGACAGTTCGAGGAGACTGCGATAAAGTTTGTTTATTTATTTTTATGTATTTTTATTGTTTATTCGGAGCCTTGCTCTTTGCTTGTCAATTTATAAGTTAACCATTACGAAATGGTTAAGACTTATAATGCAATAGCATAATAAGCACACGCACTTGTACACTCACATTTGGGTACGCGGTGAGCGCCCGATGTGCCACTGGCTATGTGGGGGGAGTGGAAGTTGGCGGGATTGGGCACTGTTGCTACAGCTGAGAACGCCGCGGAACGAATGAAGCTAAATCGCCAGCTGCCAATGGCATATATACTTTAGTTAAGTTATGTACCGTCAGACGCGCGGCGACGACGTTTTTAAGCAAAACCTCGGCCGGCGACAGCGAAGCGCAAAAACAAACGGTTAAAAATTGTTTAAATTGTTGTTGACTGTTGGCGGTTTCGAGATTGACGCTTCGCTCGCAGCTTTTTTCTCTCGCTCTTTCTCTCTCTCTCTCTCTCTCTCTCACTCACTCTCTCTTGTTTTGATAGCGCGCCACAAAAGAAATCGCATGCGATTATTACACTAGGAGAAATTCTTGAATCAAAACAAAAATGTTCAAATTCGTGCCAATCACGGGCTAAAATAAATATTTAAAAAATTATTCCATTCTTGCCAGTCCTTGTCAATGATTAACCAGCACGAGCACACGTGCTTGAATTATTTATTATTATATATTATGTTATATATATTAAATTATGCTTATAAAACGCGATAAAACGGGAATACCTAAAAAATAAGCAGAGAGTAGCAGCTTTACTAGCATATACATATACAGTATCAAGTAGAATATTTTAAGCTGTGTATAATGTCAAAAATATTCAAATATTCAAGCATGGCACATAGTATTTTTATTAATTAGATAATCTCTAAATTGATTGTAGCTGCAGCTTATTATATGGTCCTTATCTCTATTTTAACTCGTTTCGTTCAGCAACAAATTTATAACCTTTTTAAACATTTTTTATATACACACTATAAAAAGCTCCGTTTATAAGTAAAAAAATTTTGTTAATTAACATTCTCGATAAAATGGCAGGCAAGTGTTAAATGCTATATTAACTTGCTTACATTATATACATGTTTGTTGCTTTCTTTTATATTTACAATATCTTGAAATTTTGGTTACTCATCCGCTGATCTTCTCTTTTAATATAAGTCCATAAATTTACATAAAAAGGGATTACATTTATATTTATTTTTATGGATTTACAAAATGGCTTTCGAGTCGATTACTCCCCGTTACACTGAGCGAAAAATTGAGAGAATCAAATATTCGGTCCCTTGATATTGCAGATTTACAAAAAGGCATCGTCATGCAAGTGCCCACTTGCCTAAACTTCAAGTACTCGCACATGTCGGCTTCCTTACTAACACTTTGCTTGCCCATACCTTGCCATTTAACATGTAATCATGCTGTGAATAAAATGCCGAGATGCACAATAAATGCTCGTGACTCCCACTAAGTGGCAGCTTCTCTGAGAGCGCGAATTTGTTGTTAGATAATTAGTTTTATTGATGCATTTAGCTGCCTGTTGATAAGCTGTGATGATTAGTGATAACAGTTGTTAATTTGCTAAGCATTCGAGCTATCATTGTTATCTGAAATGTTGTGGGTAACAAACATATGTTTTTTTCTGTTATTATTTTGTCACCCTACTCATCTCGCATAATTGATTAAAACAAATTATATATTGTAGTTTGTTGCTCAACATTTTCTTGTTTTATTTGTTATATGATATAACTGAATTTTAAGAACGTAGTCGCACATATTAACAAAGATTTAACAGTTTACATTTGAATGAAATAATTTTGCACTACTTAGCTAAGGCGTTTAACTTAATTGCGTGGTATATAATGAATAAAGGTGCATTTATGAAATTATTTGTAATTCATCATCAATATGCCATTCAAGACATGTTCACAAAAAGCATGCGCTGTGCACACACTCTACCCACGAGTTTGCTGTACTCGATAATCACATCGCGATCGCCAACAACGCCAGTAAGCTGTCAAAAAAGAAAGAAGTCAATAAATTTCAAGTATTTGTAATAAGCCACATATATTTACTTGTACGAAACTATTGTAACTGACGCAGGTTTTGGCGTCAAGGAGCAGCATTACGTCATTTAAATGCTGATTCAAAAACTCATTCACATCCTTTGCTGTGGCATCCGGATTCAGGCGCTGATACTTTTCCACATCTAGTTTGGAGCGTACGGCTGTGGCATAATATTACGATAACAATAATTATGTACAAAAAGTTATGAAGTGTTTGTAAGCTACCATCGGTTAGGGGCACCCAAACATAAGTCTCAGGGCACAATAAATAAGACGCAGACAATTTTCCCTTATAGCGCATTTTAGGACAAGAGTGTATGTAAAATCCCATATAGTAATACTTCAAAGCGGGTACACGCTCGGCAATTGTCTGCACCAAATCAATTTCCCTAAAAGCAAGCAAAAATGTTAACAACAAATACCTATACAGTGCACTCAAATCGAACCTTAAAGAACCATATGTGCCCAGCGATAAAAAGCTATAGTCAGGATCGTAAAAAAAGTATACTGAACTAACTGAACCAGGTAGTATATCAATGACGCCTACAGCAATCAATTTGCCATCCAGCCAGTATTGATGATGAAATGAGCCATATCCCATGTCCGGAGCATCTTCGGTTGTTTGGTGCTGAAAGCAATGGTAGCAATAAGATTAGAATTCCCTTATATAATCTTTAAAAAATTGTGTTTTTTTATTATTCAACATTTATGTTTGTTCAATTAGCAACCTTCATCGGTGACTGTTGCAGATGATCCTTGTATGCTATCAGATTTTTGGGCGGATCATGGTGTATGACAATCTGATACTTCTTATACAGCTCAAAGCTTTGCGGTAATGTACGCCTGAATTCATCGCTATTGACGTTCACCAAACGCAGCTATAATAAGATTTATAGAAAAAGAAAGAAAATCATTTATAATTACCTTTAGGGGTGATTTAACCAAAAACCGCTGCATACTAGCTAATGTTAGGCGTGCGGGGTTATCATTGTGTATGACTAATTGATATTTGCGATACAATGCGTGTACTGCATCAGTACAAGTGCGCTGTGTATCTGAGGCAGCGACCAAAACGATCTGCAACAAATAGCACAAATACGATGTGTGTACATAAAGGGACTCAAGGGCACACGCCAAAGGTAACACAAAACAATCTACATATTATATACATTTTAAAAGGTTAAACACTAGCTACGTGCTGCAAACGGTTTCAAATTTTTTTTTTGGACATAAAAACACGTGCTTCAAGTCAATACAGACAGCATGACAAGGTAGTATGCAGCTCAAGATAAGCTAAGCTTTAGATTTAGTAAAAACATCTTTTAGCAACATTTAGAAGTCTTCATAGTGCGTCCGCCGAAAACTGTTGAAATTTTAAACGGATTTGACCATTTCAAAAAGCTAATTCAGGTATTTTCAGTTCTTATTAGATTCAGCTACTTTTTTGAGTTGGCAACTGACCACATTACAAACAGTTAGTGTACATTTTATTTACAATCACTTATCTCGAGCTGTTTACGAACTTTGAATTAAAAAAATGGTCTCGGTGCACATTTAGCAATTATTTGTATAGACCTAAAAACACACCTTTAAATGATGTTTGTCAGTTTCACAGGGTGCTGCCAGAAAATCTTTCAAGCTCTTCTCCTGTTTCAACGTTTTGGTGTGTGGTGGCTGTTCAAGCGGGGCGCCCAGTTTGGCTTGCCTGCGCTCCAGGCGCATTTGCTTAGCCTTCTTACGTGGCGGATTCAAGTTGGAGGTTAGTGCTATGAAATTAAATAAATTAATAGGTAATGCAAGGCTTAATAAAAAAAGATCAATGGACTCACTTTTACATTTGTTGGATACCAACAGCGACGCTGCTGGATCTCCTTTGCCTGCCGTTACGTCCAGCCCTGGAGCAGGGCACGCGCTTTTCATTTCTGCTGCTAAGTTCTCAACTTGTTCTACATTAATTACAGAGGGCTTCTTATCAGGCAGCTGTGGCTGAGGGTCGCTTGCATTGACCCCAACGCCGACGTCAGCGTCATCGGCGGTTTTTGATTCACCCGCTGTCGGTTGCTGCTGCTCGCTTGGCTCACGTTTGCCATCGCGTAAAAATTTATTCATACGCCGCAAAATGCGTTTATTGGACTTGGTTAGTTTAAACTCCAGAGCGTCGCACTTAATCGTATAGCATGGGCAGCATGTAATGTCGTTTTGCGGCTTATAGCAGTAATTACCGCAGCGCCGCCAGCCTCTATCGATCAGCTCTTGGTAATCGTCGCAGGTCAAGCGATATGCATGCATACCTGTATGACACACACACACATACATGCAAGTAAATATGCGAGTGGTGAATACATTGTACTTTAGTTCTGCTTAGGGATGTTGTAAATGGTGTTCTTACCGTGCGATTTGCTACAGTCCGTGCCCGTGCAGTATCCACATTTGCTCGTCTGTTCCCCATAGTACTGCACAATGCTGACACTCATAATTGCGTTAACTATTCTGCTTACACACACGCACTCCTTATGCACATTATTTTTATTTGAGTACTAGAACCTTAACATTTACTTAAATGTGTGAACAAACTGCAGCACTGCAATTCAGCTATCCGATTATTCTGTTGTGAAATATTCCTTCTATAGAAATGTTATGTAGCATGCTATCGATATATCGATGTTATGAATTAGTGCTGGAAAGTGCAAATCCATTAAGGTTCAACGGTTAGTGATCAGCTGAGACTGAGCTGGTTCTGAATTGTTTGGGCTCAGTTGTTATTATGTTACTTAACTAATTTTGCTTATATACTAGAGAAAATAAATTGCTAAAAATATTCCTACTGAAATGTGACACTCACCTACGTAAAATTTAAACAATTGAGCAATGAGCTCATTTAGAAAAAAAGAACAAATGAGCTTGTTCCAACGGAAAATCCACTTAGTCAACACTATTACTAAATCATTACACACAGTATCATATTTCGACTGCCGAATTTGAGTATTGTTTAATTACAATATTTAAAGTAAAATGCATTAGTAAGCTATGAGATAAATCTGCTGCAAGGTGTATAAAAGCTGTAAGTTAAAAACTTCTCTTCACAAGTTATAGTGTAACAGCTAAAGAGATATATCAAGTGCAGTAATTCAAAACTTCTATTGCGTAGTTGTCAAGTGAAAGTTGTTATACGCTTAGTTTCAAAGGTTTAAACTCTGCCAAACATAGAAATTAGAAAAGCACTCATTAGCAAAAAGAAACCTTTGTATGATTTTAGGTCTGATTGTAAAAATTAAATAATTTGATGTGAATTGCCAATATTATTTATTATCATTCTCATCATAAGTAGAGTATTTGCACTATTAATGCCATTTGTAACTTTTTAGCAGCGCAATGATTGGAGCCGCAACATCTGAGCTTGATAGTCGCTCCCCCAAGCCGAATGCCAACTTTGAGCACAACCTCAAGCTGGCCCAGGCCGGCTCAAAAGATGAGCTCAATGGAAAAGTAACAACAGCACAAGCAACCGAAACCACGACCGCACCTATTCCCGCCGACTTGCAGCCCGCCTATCACAAATTGTACGCCGATTGCCAGGAACATGCCGCCTACTTTGCCAAGGATCATACCGAATATGGTCAACGCTTGCATGCCGCACAAATTGCCTGGCAGGATTTTATAGTGCTGGCCAATCGGCTGGTGCTGCAAATCGAAGCTTTTGCCCACGAATATGACTTTGACGAATGCACACCGGGCAACGGGTATCGCAGTTTTATTTACGTGACCAATGCGTGCATCACACATGGACGCAGCATTTGCCAGCAGCTGCTGGCCACACGCGCCACGCTCTTCTTTCGCAAGAAGTTCTACATGAAGGAGGTAGAGGCATGCTCTCAGTTGCTCTGCTCACTGTGCACCTGTCTGCAGTACCTTTTAATACTGCGGCAGTGGTCGGTGAATACGGGCGATCTACTTGCTAGTGGGCAGCATACGGCCGAACAGCTCTTCGAACTGGGCGACACCATTAATCAGTATTGTTTCTATGGACGCTGCTTGGGCTTTCAGTATGGTGACTCAATACGCGGTGTACTACGATTTCTTGGAATTGGCATGGCCAGTTACTCCGAAACGTATTACTCGCAAACGGACAATGGCAGCAGCACCTTGCTAAAGACCACACGCAGCCTCTGGTCTAGCGGCAAATATCTTATGAATCCGGAGCTGCGCGCGAGACGTATTGTAAACATTTCGCAAAATGCAAAAATCGATTTCTGCAAGTCATTCTGGTTTTTAGCCGAATCGGAGCTAATGCACAAGCTACCCAGCATTGTGGGTACTTCCATCAAAGTAAATCGCATAATTGAGCTGCCCGCCGAGCCAATGCGCTTACCGGCACGTACGACACAAACAAAAAACGTAGCAAACGAAACAGAGTTGCAGTTTGTAGATATACCTGTGCCCAGTGCACATCTTGGACCCGGGCTGCCAGTTTCAGTGCGCTTGCTCAGCGCTAAGCGACGTGCTGGTATGATCGGTGAGGGACGCTATCGAGGCTGGCGGCGACCAGCAGCAGCTTCTAAATCGATACTATTTCACTGCCATGGTGGCGGCTTTGTGGCGCAATCATCAAAGTCACACGAGCTATACCTACGCGATTGGGCCGTGGCACTGGATGTGCCTATACTTTCGGTGGACTACAGCCTGGCACCGGAGGCACCATTTCCGCGTGCACTGCAGGAAGTCTACTATGCTTACTGCTGGCTGTTGAACAACGCACAGCTCTTGGGCACTACCGCAGAGCGTGTAATATGCGCTGGTGATTCCGCGGGCGCGAATCTCTCCATTGGATTGGCACTCAAGTGCATTGAGCAGAACGTTCGGGTGCCAGATGGACTGTTTCTGGCCTATTGCCCAACATTGGTTAGTTTTGTGCCTAGTCCAGCGCGGCTTCTGTGCCTAATGGATCCACTGCTGCCCTTTGGTTTTATGATGCGCTGCCTGCGCGCCTACGCAGCGCCTTCCAATGAAATGTTGGAGGAGAATGCCAAGCATGTGGAACAGCTTGAGCAGATACGAAACGCACAGGCTCCTATTGCGGAGGCGGAGAAGCTAACCCATAGCATCAGCTCCAGTCGACGTACCTCGACGGCCAAGAGCCCGCTAACACCGCTGGAGCCGCTCAATCGTTCGGATGAAGATGAGGAGACCAGCGATACTTTTGCCAGCGCTTCGTATCACAGTCAAACGGTGGAACGTACTGACTTACCCAGCAGTGATAACAGCGACAATAGCTCCTGCGTGTCATTCGAGGACGACTCGCAGCCCATTGAACATTATCCGATTGAGATATCTGCGGAGATACCCAAAGACGCCGAATCAGCCGCCTACATTGATAGTTTTCTGGATAAATATCTTATTGATACCGCCACGATGGAAGCCACGGAGGAGAACACAAATACCGCTGTACAATTACCACTAACGAATGGACACGCCAAAAGCAGCTCTGAGGAAAACATTCTTGTTGAGGCGGGTCGTGAGATAATTGTGGATACTCTGCCTGGTCGCTTGCAAGAGGCTGTCAATAATATAATAAATCGATGCACGCAATCCTATGAGATACACGGCACAGGCACAGCTGGTCAGCAAGATGTGCGCAACTTGGATGCTTTAATTGCGCGAAGCCCCAGCGAAGAGTTTGCTTTCGATGTCCCCAAAGATCCTTTTCTATCGCCCTACTGGGCCAGCGATGAGTGGCTTTCGCAATTACCAGAGACCAGAATACTTGTAAGTTGGACATTCAACCATAGATTAAATAATATTAACTTGTTTTACGTCCTGTAGACGCTGAACATGGACCCTTGCCTAGATGACTGTGTTATGCTTGCCAAAAAGCTGAAGCGACTGGGTCGCCAAGTACACTTGCAGATACTTGAGGGTTTGCCACATGGTTTTTTAAATTTTACGATGGTACGCAAAAAACTACTTTAATGTGATCAAGCAAGCTAATTAGTTGATTACTTTTTAGTTGTCCAATGAGGCAATGGAAGGATCAAAACAGTGTATCAAATCGCTACAGGCATTGCTTCAGGCAAGTATAGATAACAACGACAATGGCACCGCATACAATGAGACCACCAGTCCCAGTGCATGCTCTGTTTCATCGGCAGCGCCTTAATAACAATATATACTTATCCTTATATACATATACTATATATTTATATTCCATATATTAATATTTATACACGGTTTGTTATATGCAACATAGACATGTTGTTTGTGTGGCACAATTCTTGCTTTTTTGTTCTCAAATGTTTTTATACACTTTTATATTATGAATACGAACACATTTAGATTAGCTTTATATGTTTTGTAATGGCAGCTATACAAAAAGAATATATAGGATAAAGCTTCTACATTAACTCAGCCAATTGTTCAAGTATTGAGAGCGTGTAAGCACGCTCTAAAATATTTATAAAGTAAGATACATCACAAAATGTACTCCCAAAACTCATGCAAAGTCTCGAATATGTGCCTGTTATTAACGAGTACTTATATGTAATTTATAGCGATATTTATCTATGTATTTAACTTGACCTTTCGATATTATGGAGGCTTAAAAAGTTCTATTGAAGCTAATTTAATTTGCGAATAATCGGCATTTGACAAACCAGATTAAAACGTGCAACCTTTGATTTGTATGACCGAACACAGCAGGTCGATTGCTTTAGTTTTAACCATAGGCCAACTCTCTCTTTATATTAACTATACCCAGTGTTATGTTATTAAATGGTTTTTGCCATTAAACGAGAAACAAGTTTTTCATTTTGTATTACTTTATTGGCCAAAGAAATGCTGCACTGTAAAATCTTAACAATTAGTATGTCGTATGTAAGGGAATTATGCGGTATATGTGAAGTATGAATATGTTTTAGGTACGTCGCGAAATGATTTTATGTTTCGTTATCTTCGATCTTTGGCGCCAGATAGTAGCGTATGTGACCCAGATCCTTGATGGCATATTCAACCACAAGCGGCACATCAGCGCACATGGACAGCTGCACCTGGGTAGACAGCGGCGTAGCCTTGGTAAATGCGTTCAAGTATCGACAGGCGAAAGTGAGCGTGACCGGCTCTTGCATATCAATAGTGACAGCCTCCTCCTCTTTGTCGACCGAGCCAGTTTGTGCCAACTTAATGTTCGCAGTGCCCACATCACCACTGGCAGAGAATTTTACACCTTCTTTCGTGCAGCAAATGACAACGGATTCACTGAACTGGGCTAAATCACGGCAGATGCGTGCAAATTCCATAGCCGGCATGCGTACCACACACGAATATTCCGTTTCCGGAATGCCCAAGTGCTCCTGATCGAGATTCATCAGTTTCATCTCGTAGTCGGAGACCTTTTCCTGATTGGCCGACTCGAACATGATTGTGACTGTGTCCGCATTATCCTGAGCCTTCATAGTCACATTATCTTCGTTGTTGGCGCACTTCAATATCTTTGCCATGCTGCCCAGATTCATGCCCATGGACAGATTACGATCACAGCGGAACTTATCAAAACCATCAGATCTCAGCGTCAGTGAAACCAGCGATACATGGGAGTTGTCCATTGCCTGAAGCTGAAAATACAAAATACAATCGTTTAGAAATATTAAAAACTTGAGCTAAGCTTCCTTTTCCTTACCTGTATGCCCGAATCACTGCAGTCGAAGGTGCCTTCATTAAGCAAATCCTTGATGGCGTCAAGGATTTTCTTCAGTGTTGTTGCTTGTCCCAAACGTGCCTCAAACATGATTGCTGTTTAATTTAAATTGTTCTTGTGCAATGCAATTCTCGTAAATTTGATCAGCGCGTTAGTGCGTTGGTGACTGTAATGAATTCCTAGCCGCGGCAAAACTAGCGTTTTGGCGCGAATAACAGCTGTCAATTAGCCTAGTCATGGCGTTGCCCAACTGCATAAATGTGTATTGAATAAAAGTTGCGATTGCAGCCCTGTGGCGTATTAAAATTTAATTTTTTCCAATACAAAAATGGTTTACAAATAGGTATTTTGACATCAATTTATTTAATTATATTAATAAATATTGGCTTCGATTGTTTCGTCTTTAGTTTTGATTTTACCATATGCCGCAAGCTATTTATTCCAAGGCCTATAAATACACGTTTATTAAAAATTATAATATAATTATTATGTAGGTATGTTATTATGTTTATTACCATGCACGGTCTGCAACGCTGGTGTTCCCATTGGGTCTAAGCGCATAAAATAGTCCTCTAGAGCCTTATGCTGACGCATTGCAGCCACACAAGCGGCAGGTGTGAGCGAAGAAAGATTAAAGTCCTGGTATGGACGGCGGCGCAGCAATTCGACCACTAACTGCAAATGACCAGCATAGGTAGCCAGTGTTAAGGCGTTCTGCCCAAAATAATTGATGGCGTAAATATTAGCTCCAATGTCTAGCAACACCCGTGCACACTCAAACTTGCCAAGATAGCAGGCTTTGAGTAGCGCCGTATTACCGTATTTGTCCAGCTCTTCTATGTTGTATTTATGATTACGTGCCAGCGTGCATATAATGCGTAATGACATAACGTCATCCTCGCCAACACAATCAAGTGCTGAAACAGATAACAATATTTAAAAAAATATATATTCAAAATATAAATGACATTTACCATTCATTCGCCCAATTACATTCATTGTTTCAAACCGAAAATTATTTACAATAACGGCACTTTTTCAGGGCCTGCACTTTTATAGGCAGCCCTGCACTTTTGCATATATCGATACTACGCACGTTGCTCAGCACTGTTTTTCGAAATGTCAATGTCATAAGTGGAAAGAAGCAGCACATCCGCTTTCTTTTTCGACTGAATAGTTGTCGCTTAAACAGGGCAAAATGGTGCGTCTATATATAAATCGTGAAATATCCAGTTAATCAAACGCTAAAAGTAGCGAATTAACGCTAAAAACCCAAATGCATGCCATACTGTGCGTTGTGAAAACAAAATAGTGCATATTTGTGATATATATATGGCTAAATTATTTTGCAATTTTGAGCGGAAATGCAATTTCGGCTTTTGTTGTTTACGCCTTCGTATTCCGGTGCCAATGATTTGACTTATAATAAATCATTTTTTTTTGCAGTCGCTCGTCATCCCAGAGAAGTTCCAACACATTCTTCGTATCATGAATACGAACATCGATGGCAAGCGCAAAGTTGGCATTGCCATGACTGCCATCAAGGGTGTGGGTCGTCGCTATTCCAACATTGTGCTGAAGAAGGCCGATGTGGATCTGACCAAGCGTGCTGGTGAATGCACCGAGGAGGAGGTAAATACATATTATATACATACTGTTTTTTTACGCGATTAATCTAATTTTTTGCATTTGTTGAATTGGACAGGTTGATAAGGTTGTCACCATCATCTCAAACCCGCTGCAGTACAAAGTGCCCAACTGGTTCCTTAACAGACAGAAGGATATCATCGATGGCAAATACTCGCAGCTGACATCATCCAATTTGGATTCAAAGCTCCGTGACGATTTGGAGCGCTTGAAGAAGATCCGCTCCCACCGTGGTCTGCGTCACTACTGGGGTCTCCGTGTCCGTGGCCAGCACACCAAAACTACAGGTCGCCGTGGTCGTACCGTCGGTGTGTCCAAGAAGAAGTAAGCCTAGCGGCTGCTACAACGCGTTTCCTGTATTCAGGATGAAGCTGTTATTGCTTACGATACTTCTTTAACAACCCAAAAAAGAAAAAACAAAGGAAATAGAAAACAACATAAAAATTCGTATGCAAACATGTTTGAGTGTATGGTGAATTTGTGATAGGCTAACCTGAACAGCTTAACTGGTTAAAAAGTGTATTCCGTACGTTGTAGAGTTCGAAAAACCATAAACCTATACGGCTGCGAAACTAGTTTTATATTGGTGAGATGTTAATAAGGACAACGCCTACAAACGCTGTTCCTACACTTAGCATTATAATTCAAAAGAGTTAAGTAAATTTTTAACAAAATTAAAATGTCAACGTCGACGGTTACAGGACAGTCTCAAACGAGCCAAGGAACATGCATGAAGCTGCGGCTACTGATTCGCAAGAACATAAGTGTTTTATTGGCTCATCCACTAGGAACTGCTATTGCCATTTTAGCTCCTATATTGCTGTTTTTGTATACACAGTTTGATCAAATATTTCATAGCAAGAGTGCAACTCAAGTTCACGCAATCAGACATCCGGCTATCGATATATATGTACCAAATGTAACGTATGTATTTAAGCATAATAATTGTCTCGGTCGTCCTTGATTCTTTCTTAGTTCCATTTTTTATTCACCGATCAACGAGATTCTTGGGAGGGTTGTAGGCGATGTGGCCACGAATTTGGGAACGAAAAATGTGCAGGCATTCTTAGACGCATCTGAATTGGAAGCAGCGCTCATAAAGCAAAATGGCTTTGTGGGCATTGAATTCGACGATTATTTTAGCACCATAATGGAAATACCATCTACGGTCAAAGTTGCAATACGGTTTCCATGGCATTTGCGCACAAGGATTGGATGGAAATGGCCTAAGCGTCAGTACAGGCCACTAATTGAAAGGATGAGCAAAAGCTTATATGATTTGGAAGGTTTTTTGATTATCCAATCGAAGCTAAGCGATGCATTAATTAAGAACAGAAACCGAAGCGCTCATGTTCCTCAAGTCCATATGCAGCCGTTTCCCGATAGGATGCACAAGAATTTCGAATATTTGCTTGACCCTTATTCTACTCTCGTAATGACCTTTGCGTTCTTATTTATGGCACCCTCCCTGATTATTGGGCATGTAAGTAACAAAACAAAAGTATAAGCTGCAAAGCTTATACAATTGTTAATAGGAACTATAACTATGGAACAGTATTTACTGTGGCCTTAGATGGCACCAACAGATTGATGCACTTCGTGTTAACGATCATAACGCACAAAGTCCTTTGAAAATCTGCAAGGATATGTCCGAGTTATTACTGTTTTTCTATTATATTATTCGTATTACAAAATCGGCCATAACTTGGCTATTTCAAGGATTATCGAGATATCCCTTGGCCAACAGATAGTCATTGTCTAGCTCATTCAGAACTGAAGGCATTCAAATTGTGTTTGCTGTTTCTGAGATACCCAGGTTTTTGTATTCTTGATTTTTAGAGGACCGCATTACATGTAGACCACGGTCCATGCAGGGATATCCTGAATTAAAGTTTTCACCAGCCCTAGCGTATGCAGTAGAAATAAATAAGAGCTAATTATGTGCACAGCACAAAAGTAAACAGTATATTTTATTGAACTAGTTTATAAATTTAGGAATATGCCCTTAATTAGAATTTCTGAATTTCTTTTGCTCACCGAGCCGCGTACTAAAGGTACAATCGTCATTGTGTTCATCCGTTTGAGCCAAAAATCATATATATTCATATATATAGATATATGGCTTTATTCTAGCCTATTTTACAGCAAATCGTTTCGGAGAAACAGAGACATTTGAGGGAGATAATGCGATTGATGGGGCTCACCGTTGGCTTAAATTGGCTGTCGTGGTTTATAGTCGCCTGTTTATTTATAAGCATACCGCTGATGGTTTTCCTGATACTGATGAACTGGTGTTTGTGTCCCGGATCCAACTTTATGGTGCTGCTGACTATATTTTTTATTTATCTACTGACATTAGTCTGTTTTATCTTCGTAATCACCGCCTTTGTGACCAGCACCGTATTGACCATGAGCTCCATATGTGTTTTGCACTGTGTTAGTTTCATGCCATATTTAATGTTGGGTAGTCAGCCGCGACAGGCACAGGCTATATTTATCTGCTTGTTTATGAACAGCGCAATGCCTTTAATATTAGTGCAGATCCTTGGCTATGAAATTCGTGGCTTGGGTGTCCAATGGAACAATTTATTCACAACCAGTCATCCCGATGATATAATGAGCATTGGATACATATTGCTGATAATGTTGGGCACCAACATATTGCGTATCATTTTCTGCTTGTATGTGGATCAGCTAAATCCGGGTGAATACGGTGTGGCCAAGAAATGGTATTTTCCATTTAAGCGCAAGTTTTGGTGTCCTTGGGAGCGACCGGGGAGAGCATTTGTGGATGAAGAGCGAGCAATTAGCCATGTGAAACGACAAGAAACCGATGCATTTGAGGAGATTTATCACAATAGGCCGGTTATTATGGAGGCACAGCATTTATGTAAGTCCTACGGCGACATTGAGGCAGTGCGCGATGTAAGTCTTAAATTCCATGAGGATGAGATAACCGTGCTGCTCGGACACAATGGCGCCGGCAAAACTACAACATTTATGATGCTTGCGGGTATTACACTCCCGACCTCTGGCAGAGTTCTTGTTAATGGTAACAACATGGCCACGGCCACCCAAAAAGCTCGCCAGTCCTTAAGCTTTTGTCCGCAATACAATATACTATTCGATGAGCTGAGCGCATACTGGCACATTGTATTCTATAGCCGACTAAAGGGGTTCGAGCGTTCGGAAGCCGAAGCGGAGGCGGAAAGATATCTGGAAATAATGGATCTAATGGACAAATCGACAATAAAAGTAGAATACCTTAGTACTGGCATGAGACGCAAATTGTCGGTGTGCTGTGCCCTCTGCGCCAACACTAAGGTTAGTGTAACCTGTCTTCGGCACGCCGAATGGCTTACGGTTATGCAGGTATGCGAGGATAACAACAACAAAAATGTTGTATAGAAGAACATAATATTCGACCGATCCTTCCTACGATCTTGGTAATACTGACTCGGCTGCTTATACTTATCAGGCATATGTTAGAGATTTCTCCTTCTTCACATTTTATGACATTTCGAGCTTCAATTACCTGATCCACAATCTGATTTTGCTTTTAGGTGGTACTTTGCGATGAACCAACCGCTTGCCTGGATCCATCCGCGCGTCGTGAAGTTTGGAATCTGTTGCGTATGGAGAAAACTGGACGCTGCATAGTTATGAATACGCATTTTATGGAAGCCGCGGAAGTATTGGGTGATCGTATAGCGATCATGTGTGACGGCGAGTTGTACGGTTACGGGACAGCGGAATTTATTGTAAATAATCTTGGCCCAGGATATCGTCTAGTAAGATTCATATATTCAATGCAACTATCTCAATACACCTCATGTACATACATATAGGTCTGTGTGACTCTAGAGGACTGCGATGAGCCCGAGGTCACAAATTTTCTTCGGAATCATATCAATGCTGTGGAGCTGGAGAGTGTTACTGACACAGAACTAACCTACCGTCTGCCCGTTGAAAGTGTACATAAATTTACTAACCTCTTTAGGGCAATGGAGAGTAAGCTGGCAAAATTGAAAATTTCCAGTTTTGGAGTCAGTGCACCAACACTGGGTGAGACTTTTATGAAGATTGGCAATGCAAAAATTGGAAGTGCGCGAACGTTGGAGTCCATGAAATTGACAAACGGTAAGCGAAATTTAAATTAAATAGTATGGTAACGATGGTTAGATGTAAACAAAATGTTATATCTCTGGTACTGTTAATGTGGCACTGTTAGAGTTAATGCGCCTTCCTTACTGTTAACGTGCATCTGCTACCGTTCATGTCCATCTATTACTCTTTATGTACTCCTGGAATAAATTATTAATCTAAATATTGTTGTTTTTTATAGGAATTTAGAGTACCAATATTTTGTTTATTTATTTACTATTTAAAATATTTTAATACAATTTATCTGAGATAGGAATTTAATAGATTTACTACATATTTTCCTTCATACACTTAATCGCAATATAGCTTGGGTGTCACACCCCATCGAGAACCAGGAGTTAAGTGCATCGAAGAGACGGTTAAACGACTGGCATGGTATGATGATAAAGAAGGTTCTATTCACATGGAATCATCCGCTGCTGTTTTCCTTTATTATATTGCTGCCGTTGTTTGGATTACTGATGCTCGCTCTGTTTGATATAATTTACAGTACAGATATCCCACATGTGGTTAATCCTACTAAATTATCGGCGTATCCGGACCCATTGGTCGTACACGAATGGCTAGTCACCGGCATCCAAGATGGATCTGAAATATTTTATGATAACAGCAAAATGATCGCAGATGAATATGAGAGAATAGCCATGGAAGCAGGTGCCACAGTACATTCACTAACGCAAATTAGCGTTGGCAACTACTTATTGAACCATCTTGATTTGAACAAGGAAGGGTTCACGGAAACCTATGTGGCAGCCACCACATATCGCGATGGCTCTGTTACGGCCTGGTTTAATCGGCGCTTAGAGCACGGAGCGCCACTCTCACTCGGTCTAATCTACAATGCGATCGCACGTGTCCTGGGTAAACTGGACATAGTTATAACCAATAAGCCACGTCCCGACTCGAAATCAAACGTCTATAAGCCCGACAAGGAGCTCAGTTCAAGGAGGCGTACTACTTTTATGCTAATGTATCTGAGTTTTGTCCTTTCAACGTTTATCCTGTTGCCCGTCTTAGAGAAAGCGACACAGATGAAAGAGCAACAGTTCATTAACGGCATCGGCTTTTGGACTTATTGGCTGTCCCATCTGATTTGGGACTTTTTATTATTTATATTGATAATAATTTCCATACTATTGTCACTTTATAGACTACCAGGTCAAGTGCTGTACATGCTGGCGATCCTTCTATTTTTCTTTGGCCTGTCCGCACTGACATTCACCTATCTGTTTACATATTTTTTCAATGAAGCCGGCAGCGGAATGTCCTATATGCTGATCATTAACTGCTGTATCGGTAATAAAAACAACAAGCTATATACCAAATACCTATAAGAACATATGTTACTAATTTTATTTTTCAAAATAATTTGTATAGATAAAAAGTTAAGTAGTAAATAGTCTACTCGGGCGTTTCCGACTATGAAACACGCGAAGTCTAGCTTACCTTAAAACGCTTCCCATTGCGTAAATGTATTCTTGAATATCTTCGGTATTTACTGTCCGATTAAACAACATTTTTGGATCACATTTCTGTGAATTCCAAAGGCTTGGCTCTAGTTGAGTTTTATTTTTTTGCATTTTTAGAAAGTTGATAACCTTTATACAAAGTTTGGTGTACATCTTATTTTAGAATTATACACATTATAAAATACAGATTGGTTAAGAGTTGCTTAAATACACAAATATGAGCTAGGTTAATTTTTGGTTAACTTTTCTTAATTTTAGTTTTTTTGGCTGTCTTTACAAACTCGCACCAGCATAAGGAGAGCTTGGTATATTTACATTATGTACTTATGGTCCTGCCTTTATATGTCATGTACACTGCCACCCTAAAGGTACTCAGACGCGGCAGATCGGAAAATTGCGAATTAATGGAAGTGGGTTATGTTTGTAACTTAAACCACACTTGCTGCGGTAAAATCATTTAATTTCTTAGATACTTATAAGAAGTACTATTATTGCAATCTTGATATTTTCAGAAGAGAAAAAGGTCGTGATTTACCCTTACATCATTGTATTGATAGTTACTGCAATATTATTTTTTATGCTCCTCCTGCTGGCATCCAAAATTCGTCCTTTGAGATATGCGATCAAGTTTGGTTTGGATGCGATTCACTCGAGTTATTAACTATTTAACATATTTTACTCTGTTTCGCAGGCGACATCCCAAGGGTTGTACGACACGGGACGATGCTGATGATGTAAAAAATGCGAGCAATGAAGTCGATGACGTTCTTAACGATAAAAATAAACTAAAGGCTCACAGTTTAGTGTGTAGCCGTGCCACAAAAAAATATCGTCGCCTGGTGGCAGTCAATTGCGTGTCCCTTAAGATCAGTCCGTCAGTTTGTGTTTTGAATCTATGCTGAGAAGTTATATTGATTGGTTTCCCGCAGATATGAATGCTTCGGTTTGCTGGGACTGAACGGTGCAGGCAAGACGAGCACCATAGACATGATTGTGGGAAATCATATGATATCCCAGGGCGAAATCTACGTTAAGGAATTCAGTGTTAAGAGTCAGATAAAACAATGTTTCCAGCATATCGGCTTCTGTCCGCAAAACAATACGATGCTCAGCTATATGACCGGTCGACAGATGTTGCGATTTACCTGCCTGACCAGTGGCATGAAGAAAAAGTTTATTAAAGTGACCATCGGCCATCTGGCCGCGAGTTTTGTGCTGAGTAAACATCTCGATCAAAAGACCAAGCACTACAGCGCCGGTACCAAAAGGAAGCTCAACATCGCCATGGCCGTGCTGGCCCGCACCCTTGTTTGCCTGGATGAGCCGACCACGGGCGTGGATATTATCGCCAAGCAGGAAATCTGGCTGGTACTGAGTGATATGCGCGAATTGGGCAGATCTCTGTTTCTTACCTCACACAACATGCAGGAATGCGAGGCGCTCTGCTCCTGCCTTGCCATCCTGGTCAATGGCACCCTGCGCTGCTATGGTTCGGTGCAGCAACTGAAGAATCGCTATAACAAGGGCGTCTCAATCAAAATCCAATTGGCCACCAACGAGGAACTGGCACAACGCAGGTAAGCCGCCTGTTGAATAATAATCAATAATAACATACACTACCAATCCAATTACGTGTTTAGTTTTATATCCGATTGGACAGACAGTGGCAGTCAACGGATTCAGAGATCATCGGTGACTAAAGAATTTGGTAGGTTGCTTCTATGTTGCAGGCACTCATCTCTAAACTATATAAATAAACAAATAAACATCCGCATTATTTCAGAAACCGATGTGGACCGATTACCAACGCCGGCTGAAGAATCTGGTAAGTTAAAGATTTGCTTATATATCTACTTACAATATGATATGCAATTAATATAAAGAGGTAAAAAATAAGTGCGTCCTAGACTGGCACAAAGGTGCTTGACTAGGTGATAGTTTTAAGCCCGGATGCCTTAAAGTATTTATGTTCGACCTGAGTCAATCCAGCACTGTCCGCCTGTCCGAGAGGAAGCTAGGGACATGATATTTTAAATATATATTTCTTTTTAGCATCATTTTTTTTTATTTCTTTTCAAAGAATCGATAAGAATGTATTTTAAAATTTGGTTTCTTAAGCATAAAAACGGAATGCCCCAAATTTAGTATGTAGGCTTTTGAATATTATACATAGTTTCACTTTAATGGATACAAACAAATTTTTGGAAAGTGGATGAAAACTATTAAAAAATAAAGATTTTATCCTTGGAATAAATATACATTTTATATTTAAACTTGTCTCTGAGACGCGCAAACTTGGCAGACTCCAATAAAATACTTATTTATTTCAAATGCTTCATTTAGAGTCAAATTCGAGAGGCCCATCTATGTCGGTCAGCATAAGTGATGAGGATCCCAATACCAAAGGTACACAGGCTAAATTAAAAAAAAGGAAAAGAATAGAAACCAAGATAATATCGCCGCCAAAAGAAGCGAATTCGCCCAGTCACGAATCGCCAAAAAGGACGACAACCATTCCACGAGTAACAATTACGTCGGCATCAGGAAAATCGTCCACGTCGTCTAGGCGAATAGAATCATGGAGATTGGGCTCACAGGTCTATAATTATAGCGATGCCGAAGAATATTATGGATTAATCAAAAATGTGGAGGAAAAGTTTAAAGAGGATTTTCCCGACAGCTATGTATTGTAGGTATTTTTGTATGTGTTTGTATAGCATAAAAGAAAAATTGTATCCCTCGGCAACTACAGAGAAAAATACGTTTATCGTGGCATGGTGACTATTGTAATACCCGACAACGAACTGAAATATTCCAATATATTTACGTATATGGAACAGCACCGAGTCTTACTGCAAATAAAACACTTTGCAATCAGCCAGACCTCGCTTGAGGATATTTTTATGGAGTTTGCGCATCAAGAGGAAGCTGAATAATACATATATTTGTATGTACAGATCGATGGTGCAAGACAAAACTAAATTATCCAATGATCCGCATTGTGCATTTGTAAGAACAAAAAATAATATTGTTTAACTCGTTGCCCGCTTCACACGTACATGAGCGCAAGTTCTCAGAAGATTGCCAAACTTACATTCATGTACGTTTGATGGTGAATAATGATAAACAATCAGTGACAAAAATAAAAAAAAGAAAAAACAAAAAAAAAAAACGCAAAAAATTCAGAGAGTTAAAAACCCAAGTCACTTATTACCAAATGACTGTGAGCTATCTAAGTTGGTTGACTTGCTATTGGACATGGATTTCTATAGGCATTAATAGAGTAGACGTGTAAAAAAATGACTTGGACTTTGGCCTCTGATTTCGTGTTCTTGTGGTTTCTTCTTTCACTTAATAAATATGTATGTCAACAGAGTTTTTCGGCACTTTGAACTTGTGGTACGAAAAAACTTTCCACACACATATTCACACTACCTCTGCATGTTTGTATGTAAATCGAGGCAAGCTCAATTAGAAGTCAATTGATAGATATTTTGTTGTTGTTTATAGACAAAACAATTCATTTGTTAACCTTTGCGCGCTGCAATTTCGAACAATTTGTGCTTGGAGACGGAACTTTGCACCCGATATGACGTTAGAACTCGTCAGATATACAAAGCAAATCAAATAAATGGAATCCATGTGTCCATTCATTTTTTTTTTCAGACAAATCATAGAGAAAAACCTCGCGCAACCTTGCTGATTGCGTAAAATTAGCTTATCAGCTTTTAGTATAGGTATATATATGAATATTGTACATAGTGATACTTGATTTTGTATTAGTTTTAAACACTTGACCGGTTTCCAATAGTTAAATTTACTTTCAAAATGCAACAATTATTTAATGGTCAGCAAATGTTGCTATACATATAAGTACAATACAATAAAAATACAGTATTTCTCTTGAGTACTTAAATTAAATATTGTTCATTGATTTGCTACGTTTCAGCATGCACATACACGGGACAATTGTATATATGTACATATGCATTCAGGTTTGTGTATCAATATTTTGCCAGCAATGCGCAATTTGGCAAACTTTGCTGTAATATTACCATAAATTTGTAACGTTATATAATACAATTTGAATTTGATGAAAACAACACATTGCTCTTATATGACTTATATAAAACTAAAACAGACTAACTAAATTGTTGATGATCCCTTACATTAGAGACTCTTGGCTGTCAGTCTCTAATGCAATACCATATAGTTATTGTCTAATCCATGAGTCTATTATAATTTATGGCATTTGTAAAGCGATTAACTTCACTGAATATCAGCTAGGTATGCCGACGAGGTATATAGACATATATTTAACACATCCTAGTTAACAATTATTATATAGTTTTAAGCACTTGCAAAATGGAAGACGTTGTGTGGGCGCCTTTAGCAGTTGTTATAGTTAGAGTTATAGTTGTATGCAGGTATACAAATAGGTCACATTGTTATATGCACGTTTTAGGTACGACAACTGCGAAAACAGCTGCATGGTTTAAAGATTTTTGGTAAGTAAAGCCCACAGTTAATGATATTTTACACTATGTCATTTAACAATATAAATAAATTAGATTTCACCTATTATATAGCTACAGCTGCCTGCGTTAATTTCGTTAGCGATTCATCTTGGTCCGCCTGCATCTGTTTCTCTAACTGTTGTCGTCTCCAGCGTCGGGAGAGCACCGGCGCGAATAAATCATAATCCAACTGCTTGTGATACTTATCTAAATATATCTGAGAGTTGTTCGCAAAGTTGAAGTGCGCCAGTGTCAGACTGGCACAGTAGCCGACGCCTAACGTAATCAAGAAGCCGAGCACACAGTACCACAGGTAGGATAAACGATATAGCCAAAAGTAATCCGCCTGCTGCACCAGCGCCTGCGCCACATGAGTAACATTCGCCGACTCACAGCCGGTGGTATTGAGAGGTAGCGGTGTTGTTGCCGGCTTTGGACCGCCAAAGCCAATCCAGAAGGAAAAGATCAGGCCAAGCGTAAAGCCCAACAGGACCCCGCGCTGATTAGAGCGCATAGTGCAAACCCCAAGCGTAAAGATGCCCAGCAACGGGCCACCTACAACGCCAAAGATAGTCAAAGAGGCCTGCAGCACGCCGCCCAGTGAGCCAGCGACGAAAGCCAACAGTATACAGAATAATCCATAAATGCAGGCAACAATTTTGGTGGGTAGCGTTGACTTGGAGTCTAATAACGTGCGCTTGAAAATCGCCTTGTACAATGGCTTGAGGTAGTCCTCCAGTGTAACAGCCGAGAGCGATGTGACTGCCGAGGATATGGTCGATAGACTAGCGGAGAAAAGGCCCGAAACAAACAGACCACACAGTCCCGGATACTGGCCTGCAGCAAGAGCAATATATTATAATTGTTTCATGGTTAAACAAATTAGATTTCCTTACCCATGGTATCCACAGCAAATAGTGGCATTAGCTGATCTGGTGCTTTTATTCGTCCACTGAGCTTGGGATCGCAATCACGATAATAATAAAATATGGCCAAGCCGCTGAAGATAGTGCTAAAGCTAAGCATGCCCAGGATGGGCAGATTCCACCAAAGTGCTGATTGTGCGCTCCTTAAATTGTGCACGCTTAGCAGACGCTGCACCTGTGTCTGATTAACGCCATACAGCGACAGATATGTGACCATTCCGCCAATTAACAATGACCACCAGGTGTGACGCACGGTAGGATCTGCCGAAAATTCAAAAAACTGCACACGTCCACGCTCCTTCGCCACATCCCAGATGGCACCTAGGCCACCAGCCTTGCTGGCTGAAACTCCAATGACAGCAAAAATGGCGGCAAACATGAGAAACGACTGAAAGACATCCGTGATGAGCACAGCCTTGAGGCCACCCAGTGTTGAGTAAAAGGTGCAGACGAGACCTAGGACAAGTATAGCGGTAACTCTCGGTATGCCGGCGACAGCCTCCAGCGCCAAGGCGGGCGCATAGAGCGCAATGCCCATGTAGAGCACCATTTGCAGGGTGAAGGCAATCGAGGCAGCCAGGCGTGTCGCATGACCAAATCGACGCTCCAGATACTCATAGACGCTGGTTATGCGCATTCGATAAAAAACCGGGAGAAAAATGTAAGCGGCGATCGGTGTGCTCAATATATATGATATGTTTATAGCTCCGAATAGTGTTCCAAATTGATACGATTCACTGGAGACGCCCATCAGTGTAATGGCTGACATAAAACTAGCCATCAGGCTGAAGGACACCGGAAATGTAGTCATGCTCTGATCGGCCATCAGATACTCCTGTGTGGTCTTCTGTTTGCCGCCAGTATACCGATAGTATATACCAATCAGTGCCGAGATTGTCAAAATGACCCCCAACACCAGTGTATCCCACTGATCAAAAGTTCCAAGTGCCATTTTGTTGGTGTTATTCAATTATTTCAATTTAATTGATTTTTCACAGTGAGTACACTTCTCACTTTTTTTTTGTAACAGCGTATTGACCTTTTTACTGTCAATGGCTCTTGCAAATAAAATATGTAAAATTCACAAACATATGTACATACACATATGCATAACAAAAATAACACGCGATTATAAACAAATAACCAAACGCAACGCGGACCATCCGCAGTTACAACCGCAAAGCTCAGCCGTTGAATAACAACTAATTCACTATAACTTGACAGCGTTGCCACCTGTTGGCACAGTTGACAGCTTGTATGCTTAGGCAAGGTATGCTGGTCATATCTATTCCTAGCAAAATGGCAAACTTTTGTTAAATAAATAAAAAATTTCACAAGTTTGATATTTTATATTTTTACTTATATACAATTAATACTGTTATGAGGCATATGAAAAATTATGTTTTCACTGCCGTGAGCAACAAACAAGCAATATGCCTCCTTAAATTTTAAGAAAAAATTAAAAGAAGCTCAATCACTTCCATGAAATAACCGTGGCCGACTGATAGTTAAAGCAATTTGTTGCTACTTTTACATAATAGAACATGTAAACTTTTTAAAATCCCAAAACAGCAAATCTTATTCAGATGTGTGATAGGACTACAAATATAAGCAAATAGTTCTATTATTTTTTTCACAATTGTCTTATTACTACATATATCTTTACATATGTTATATGCACTTCTATTTGTTGACCAGAAATTAAGCCAATTTCAGTTAAGAATTAGGATTTTAATTGGTGGCCGCAAGTGCCCTGGTGACGCCGTTTGTCGCGACGTTTGCATTCATCGCTGCAGTATGAGGCGTTGAAGCAGCAATCAAATTCGGCTTCCTCTAGGCAATGTTGACACCATCTCTTGCGTTTCACTGCTTTCAACTCCTCCTTCATAATCTCGAGCTCAGCCTTGTTTCTTGTCAGTTCTTCATTCAAAAACAAAACTTCTTGCACCAATTCACGATATCCGGCAAAAGGTCCTGCCGTGTCCACGTGCGCTGTAATCTGTTGCAATAGCTCTGGTCTAGAAGTCATGGAGCATCGACGAGACGGTTGCAAGCGCTTAGGAGTTGCTGACGTTGCAGTGGCCGCAATTTTGCGCTTCTTAGCGGATGCTGGTGTGGTAGCACGTGGTCGTTTAACGGAGGCGTTTACTTCAGCCGCCTCCATGCAATGGGGTAGCGCACGGTTTATGAGATCTTCAGCATCACGAGGATCAGCATAAAAGTTAAACAAATACATTGGCTGATGTAGTAACATCATATGACACCTGAGTTCACGTAGTGCAGCGTTGAAGGTCCGCGAATTTTTCCCCTTGGTGCTAAGTTGCGAAATGTCCGTATCTATAGGTAGAATATCACGCGCCGAGACGAGTGCACGAGAGTGCGATCCACCGAAAAAGCGCACATCGTATATGTTGCTTTTTCTAGTCATCACGCGTATAACCTGGTCAGAAATTAGACGTACAAATTAAACATATAATTGGTTTTTAGCTATTCGTGCTCACCTTGGCCGGCCAGTGAGGAGAGCCATATTGTTTGGCATAAACCAGCTCGTGCCGCTGTGTACAGGGCTTGGCAAACCAAAATGTGCAGCTATTTGCCTCGTTGGAATGCCGATAGCAATCCGAGCACCGACGGATTTCACGAATATCGTGCGTGATGTCACGCAGCAGCCACTTGGTGGCATTGTATTCCTCGCACTTGGTGCCAAAAAATATGCCAATATTGTGCTGCAAGTCAAGCAGGTCGATGAGGAATTCGGACAAGTGCTTGTACTTCTTAATCTCAATGCTGTGGGAAATGTCAGAGATGCCAAGTGTGTCGTTTTTAAAAAGAGCGCTCCTGACAAGTGCCGAATCGCGTTCGGTCCAATGCTTGGCCATGTACTTGCGTACATCCTTTTTTAACCAGCTGTGATACGTTTGCCACGAGTAGTCTAGCAGACAGTTCAGTTCCTCGATGGATACGTGCGGTGGATTTAATAGATCGGAAAGCTTAAGCAGGCGGCAGGGTGTACACAGTTCCAGTTCGTTGTTGGCCTCGGGCGCCTCCTCGCTTTTGATAAGTGTGTTGCGACGCTTGCGCTGACGCGCTGGCTGCTCACTAACAAAGAAGACATCATCAGAACTGTCTTCATGTTTGAGCGGATCTTTGTTGCTGATGTTGCTGTTGTAATCAAGTTCATACGATGCATCCGGTGCCACTGGTATAGTCGATGCCGGCGTCGCTGTGCCCTGCTGGGCTTCATCTTCCTCATCGCACGATTCCTCCATATCTGATTCGTTGAGCGGAAAACGATATGCTTGACCCTTGTCCGAGGGCACCGAATAGTTTGGCCGATGCGGATTTTTACGCTGGCAGGTCGCATGAAAGCTTCGCACACAGGAGAGACATTTCTTGAGCGGCTCCGTGCCCGGCAAGTGACACTCGAAGCAATAAGGATCAGTTTTTAGAGAATTTTGTAGCTCGCCTATTTTCTGAGCGAAACACAGCGAGATTCGTTTGCCCTTGGCACGCGCAGCTTTACCCTTTGGCACTAAAATACCCATCCTGATGGCATCTTCCACCGCTTGAGAGGCCTCATCTAATTACGTAGTTTCCGCATAAAACATAAACAATGAAACACAAACACAAGCGTATTTCAAAATACAAGCACTTTGTACGTACCGTCAGACATGAACGATAGCAAACATCGTTCCAAAATTTTATTGGACATGTATGCACCATTTTTAAGTTTGTGCATCCAATTTGGCAGAACACCGGGTGGAATACTGCTAACCATCTTCTTGACTTTGTCAATAAAGTTATTGTTTGCAAGAAATATGGCCTAGTAATTGTTTTTACCAAATAAAGTGTACAGCGCTGCCAGATAGTCGCAAATTAGATGCAATCTGGCAACACTGATAATATGGCCACACTGCTGGCAACATTTGTTACTGTCATGTTATACTTTACCAATAGATAACAAATGAAATTCAATTGAGTCATTTGGTTTTCCATTTGTTTAAAAATGTATGGTACGTTACAACGTCAAAATTGGTTGTAAAACTTTAAAATGTAAAAAGTAAAAGTCTGGCAGCACTGCGTGTCAACTGACCAGATGCGTTAGTGTGGGTAAGTTTAACAATAACAGCACCTGCAACGGCAACGGAAGCAATAAAAGCCCATGGCTATTGTCGAAACGTCTAAAAATAATAGCATTAATCTTATTTCGCTAATTAAATAAGAACTCACTGGTAAGCACTTAGAATTGCATATTCCGCCTTTGTCTCCTTTGGATGCACTGCCGCGGAATATGGCTACCACTGGATATGGTGAACTCATCATCGTCACCAGCGCTAGCTTACCCTGACTCTGACGTACTTAGTTGTCTAACCAGTGTTATTCATTGCTAATTAGTGAGAGCAGCGCAAAATGACTGCGTCGACATCATTGATTGCCGATCTGTGCATATATCTATTAACCTGGAATGTTGGTACGCACTCGCCCAGAGACCTGCCGCTGGCATCGCTTTTGGCGCTGAACGGCACCACCAACTGTCCGGACAATCAGCTACCCGACATTTATGTGATTGGCATGCAGGAGGTGAGCACAAAACAGGTGCTCAACATCTTTCAGGACGATCCCTGGATATTAAAATTTGCCAGCGCACTTAGCGCACACGAATATGTGAAGGTGCACTCAAAGCAGCTGCAGGGCATACTCATTACAATGTTTGCACAGCACAAGCACATTCCGCACATGAAGGACATTGAGACGGAAGAGACGCGGACTGGCCTGGGTGGCCTGTGGGGGAATAAGGGCGCCGTCAGCATACGACTAAGTCTATACGGCACGGGCGCAGTTTTCGTTTGCTCGCACTTGGCGGCACACGACAAAAAACTAAATGAGCGTATCGAGGATTATCACCAAATAGTGGACAATCACAAGTACCACGTGAGCGGCTATCGACGCATCTTTGATCATGATTTTGTATTCTGGCTTGGCGATCTGAACTTCCGATTGGCAGGCGAAATGTCTGCCTGGGATGTTCGCAGTGCCGTGGAGCATGGACGCTACGAAGAGCTGCTGAAGTTAGACGAGCTGGTCTTGATGCGCGAGACGGGCAATGCTTTCAGTTTGTTGGAGGAGCAACTGCCCACATTTGCACCCACCTTCAAGTTCATCGAGGGCAGCAACGAGTACGACATCAAGCGGCGCCCGGCTTGGTGTGACCGTATACTGCATCGCGTGCAGGCAAACAGTTATCCAGCCATTACGCTGAGTGCCCAACAATTGTCTTATCAGTCCAACATGGAATATACGCTCTCTGACCACAAGCCCGTTTCGGCGACCTTTAGCTATAAAATCGAGGCAAACAATTTGACCTACACCGACGAGGAGCTGCACGAGATGACGCATGGCGCAGCCAGCACAGTATCAAATGTTAGTGTGCTTGGTTTTATCACTATTATAGTCTTTAATGCTGTGCTTCAATTTTGATTTGCTTCTTTTCGCTTCTTTTGTAGCCATTTAATGCCGAACTAGAAAGTTTCCAGTGATAAATGAAACCAAGTGTTCCCGTCAAAAGCAAGCAAACCATCTCATTTCATACATATCTGACTCAGACTTCAAATTGAAAACTTATGTAAGCAAATACTCGAAATATAACACAGGAATATGAGTACAATTAATTAATACTTAAACATATTTTATAAAAGAGTCTCAGATAGCAAGTGTTACGCTAACCACTCAATGAATAACTCCATAGTGTAATTATATACATACATCAATTTATACAATCATTGTATTTCAATATATGTAAACATACATATTATAGCGACTGCTTAATGTGTCACATATCACATTTAAGTTGAATCAATAGAGACTTCCTTTTAAGCTGAGCAAAGACATCGAGCGTGAAGGATAAATTGTTAAAGTTCAAAAGTTGTTTATTAAATAAAGCAGTATCTATTTTTCTATAAAATTTAACAAATTGTAATCAATCTCTTAGCATAAAAACTTTCAGGAATGTTAATGAATACTATCCATAAATATTTAGTAGCTATCAGTAACGTGCGAAACGAAAGCCCATTGCATTAAAGTGCAAATGTTTGCATGATCTAATATCCTATAGTTAATGAATATAATTTTTTTAAATTAAAAATAAACGGGGGTAATATGAGGTCATATACTTGATATTGAATAATGTATATAT